ACACAGTAAATTTAGTAAAGTGTCTCTGGAGCCACAACGCAAACCAGCAATCAAAGGTGTGTAAATTCTACAAACTGGAGAGCAAGTGTACAGGAGTCCAAGCCCCCCCCCCCTCCAAATCCTTAAGTGTTACGTCATTATAAATATTCAAGAAAACAGCTGTAATATGAAATGATTCAAGCTGCTTTAGTGAAAAAAAAATGCTAACTGCTGTAAAACTAGACACTCACATTTGCATTTTGCTGGAATGCGGAAACATTCTATGTAAACTAAATTTAAGATCAGATATGGCTGTGGTTACATAAAATGATTGTATGGTGGAGAGTATTTTTGACAATGAAGGCATCCATGAAAGATCACTTATAAAATCTGGACAAGGCAATTATCTTTTTATATTGAAGTAACACAAACTGAACATTACAATTAATTGGATTAAAAGTACAATTATACATTTCCAGAGCTTTTCAACATGTATCATTGTGGGATTAATCTCCAAAATAAAATTTTAAAAAAGCATTGTGCAGGCATGACAAGGGTACAAACATCAGAAATTTAAAATAAAGTTTACACTTTGACATCACTGCTAATCTGCTTTTTTTTGTCTAAGTACAAAAAAGAAACCAAAACTTCAGAGAACAGCCCAAGTCTGAACATATTAAAAGGCACGCCACTATGTTAGAAAACGGGGAAAGGAATTCAGTCGCTAGAGTTTTTTTTCTCTTTAAACTTCAAAAACAGCCCAGGAAGTTCTGTCAAAGGGTTACTGGCAGGTTGTGACTGAACACGCAAGATTCCATATTATCTGAATATTTATAGGAGGCCTCCAGTGGTCCGGGATGTGACTGGATTCAGGTAGGAGGAGGAGCCAAATCAAGGTGCATTTGAAAAATTTAGTGGGGTGGGGCTTTTAAATCCCCGGGGCCTGGATGTCCCTCAATGCATTTCATATGTGCAAATTGTTGCAAATTACTCGTATTCTAAGTCAAATCCTTGGCGAAATGTTGCTCCTGTATTTGTACAGTAAAAATTAAAGCAACACAACAAGATAAAAAAAAGAAAGAAAAACGATCTTAATGGAAGCAACAGACTGATATTTCATTATTTTCATTTTGCAGTACTGTTTGCTAAAAGTAAAGTCCGGAACACGATACAACATTTCACATAACTTAAAACTTAGTAAATATTTATAGTTTTATTACAATTAAAAGATTTTGTACACATGGATCATTGGCAAACACGACCATTTAATTTACTTGCAAAGCCAAAAACAAGAAATAACTGGGTTACCATGTGTCCGTGTGTATGTGTCTGTGTGCCTGTATGTCTGTGTTTCTTAGTATTTATTCATACAGGGCAGATTGAGTCCATAGTCTTGACATTCATCAATAAGTAAACATTTAAGAATTACCCCGTACATAATAAAGGCATGTTTTAAATGTCATCTTCATTTCATACTGGTGTTTAAAATTATTCACAATTTAATTTAATAGACATCTTACAGCTAAAAATAAAAAGCTTACGGAAAACAGCAATGCAGACCTGTGACGAGGTAGTCCTGCCTGCACTCCCATCTAAACCAGGAATTCCTGGATGTACGGAAACCTTGGGGCCTATGCATGTTATTTGTATATTGGACATCTGAAGTATTTGTTCATTTTATTTAAAAAAAAAAAAAAAAAAGATAACCCAAGTTGTACTATGTGCATAAAGACCCATACAGAATTTCACTAGGGTGGCCTGCTTCTATTCTGGAAAAGTCATTTACTTCTGACTCATTACACGACTGCTCATTGATAGTTTTCCTGTCCATCTGTTTAAAAATAAAAAAAGGTACTAAGGTAAGCAAAAGTTATACAACAGAAATGCGATGTACATGAAACATAAGGCAATTGAATGTTCGTCAGAACCGCAGGATTCGCATCTAAGAAAGACTCACCATTCGTTTACGTTAGCTCACGTAAAAATGGACCAAGAGAAAGTAGAGATTACAGGTGGTGTCTAAATGGTACTGGAGTGAGTAAACCAAACAGAGACGGGATAAACAAAATGGTTTACCTTTAAGGCAGGTAGGCTCTGCACTGCTGAGCGAGGCATGATACTTTTAAAACATCAAAAGGAACATTTTGCAGATAGCAAATTGCAACACCTTCTCTTTTTTTAACGCCCTCTGACCGAAAACATCATGGTTTAAAAAAATTAAACATGCTCCTTTCCTATACAACATAGCAAGACAAGAGAGAACCAGACATTTCTACAGTAAAAAAAAATACCTTGATTCATAGACTAACATCCTAATGACCTAAAACAGACAATAGAAAAATAAACAATATTCTAAGCCCCCACTCATATGGATGCACCAGAACAATATAAAATCATAAAAAAAAGCACATCAGATAAGAGTCAAAAATGACAGCCCTAGCAAAAAGGACTTAACATCTTTAAAAGCACATTTAAATTTACATTCCTGGTTTCTGATAAATGCTTTTTGCACCACCTTGCCAGTCGTTGTCCCACATCCGAATGGCACAGTTTTTTCCACGGGGCTTTTGCCGTAGACCAGATGCTCCACAGAGGCATTTCACATTATTTTCCCCATTAACAAGTGACACCAATCTCCAGTCTCAAAGCATTTATTTTAAACCAGGAATGCACCACTTCACTTATTGTCTGTGTACTGTTAAGCATGAACAGAGAAAAGCCCTTTTTAAAAACCATTTTAATTCTGACTGTAACTGTTAGGCTCAAGTGCACACCTTGTTTGTCCTGTAGGTGGAACCGGTTTGATCTGTGAGAACCACGGAACTCCATTTGTCTGTGGATCGTTACAGGGCGAGTCTCTCTCTCCGTCTGGGTCTGTGTTACAGCAATATTTCAAGAGTTTGTGAAGCAGCAACAACTTCTGCTGGTAGAATAGAGCAGCAATCCATCTTGCCTACACCCCCCCCCCCCCCCCGATCCACCCTTGCTACCCCCTCCCTCACCAGAGGGGGGCACTCTCGCACCTTTGTCACACCAAAAGACTGCCCACTGCCAGGTGGCACCCAAAATGTTAGCCACTGCCAAAAATTAGACTAAAAAAATTCAGATAAAAAAAAAAAATGATTGATAATCCTGAGACAGAACACACCTCAAGATGTACTAATCCCCCTTAGTTTGGGTCGGTAACCTGCGTTAACACTTGTATAGTCACCTGGTGTAATACTAACTGTAGACAAATCTCAGCTGGAGAGAAAAAAAAATCATTGATTTAAATTTGGCTCCTTCAAAACATCATGGGTCTGAACGGCACTACAACAATCTTGGACTGTGGTACTTTCAGTAAAATAAGGGTACTCCTGTTCATTTGGATGCATATTAACAATGTCATTTACAGAACTTAGTTTAAGCGTATCTGCTTGATGCAGGTTTGATAAGCTCACAGCCTATATATTTAAATTAGGCTTTGCGGAGAAAACATTTCATTAAAAAAATGAATGAAGTTGTTGCTCAAAAATACAATGGGGAAACTATAACTACTAAACTATAACCGGTAAAAGAAATATTTTCTCAAAAGAAACTTCAAAGAGGATGCTATTACAATTAAAAAGTGCATAAAATCAGCAGCATCGTGGGACAGTGTTGGGTTTATAAAAAAAAATAATATACACCTAAAATTTCAAATCTGTTGATAGATAGATATTACACTGAGTAAAACTACTATAAATCTAAATGGAAACAATCAAAACGTATTTTACACTCCCTCTGTAGGGAAGCCGGAACCTCCAGGACTGTCAAAAACATCAAAAGCAGGTTTTTGGCATACCTTATTTTAAGAATAATAATAAAAACGAAACATGTTACCATCACGGTGACCTGGTATGCTTTATCCAATGTTTTCATCATAATGACTGACAGTAACAGAGCCCAACACTGATGATATAGCGAAACGTAAACATTGTGAAAACTGAATTGCACATAGGTAAACACGCATGTAGATGACTGCAGTTTTTTTCTCCTCCTATTATCAAATCAAAATATCACCACCACCATCCCCCACCACAAAAACACTCTAGACTCAATGCAATTAACCAGTAAAAACGTCACTGCCATTAAGTAAATAGGTAACCATCTGATTGAATAGGAAAACTGACCAGATTAAACTTGATTGCGATCTACCAGTTTACCGGTTTATGCTTGATTTTTTTTTTTTTTTGCAGATTGTTTTTTGATAAATCATTTTCTTCTGCCTTTTTAAATTTTGCATTGTTATTTATTAATATATTACGTTTTAATAGAGTCCATTTCTGTTGTATAAACTCCGCATGAGAACAAAATTATTTAGCCAAAAAAATGAGAAATATGTATGACAAAAGTACAACAGCAGGGAAATAACAGGGCTTTTTAATAAATGCCTGAACCGTTTACTGATCAAGAACCACTAGGTTCTCTCTCCAAGGTGAGGCACTGAAATCACGTGCTTAAGAGCCTCCAAGCCGAGACTCGATCCAATGCACAGTATAAGACAGAGTAATCCCTAGTCAATGAGCGCCAAAGTAACTCAGGAATTTAAAAAAATGTAAAATTAACACACAAACATCAGGAAGGGGATTAAAAAAAGACCCAAAGGTTACGGAGGCGGCAGCAGCAGCAAAATGACCGTTTTAACTTTATTATTATTATTTTTTTTTTTTGCATACGACTGTATTCTTGTTCTAAAAACCATCTTTAATTATGGTAACTGTTGGCAATGCCGATTATATATTAAAAGACTGCCAGGTCAGCTTGTGGTTATTTAACATACACCTATCAATTTTGGCAAAGGAGGTTTAGACAAATTTTCTTTTCACATGATTGGAGGGGTCTGGGGTCTAAATGGCTATGATTCCTCTATGAGCAGAAACATATAATGCAGTCTTAATAAAATTGCCTTTTTATCTCTGATAGATACTTTTAACAACAATAATGCATTTCATTAGTTTTCTTTATCTTTTTTTCTGTGTGGTTTTTTTTTTTTTTTTTTTTTTTTTTTTTTTTTTTTTTTTTACAGTGTATGACACAGGATTGGACGTTCAGACCATGGCACGGTACGGCCCTTGCATCTTCAGGAACTGGATGATGAAGGAGGGGCCCCCAGCAACTATCTGTGGCGGCAGGTGGCTCAGGGGACAGTTCTCGATGCTCATGATCGACAGCTTGCTGCACAGGGCCAACTCAAAGGGCAGGCTGTGGAGGTTGGGGTTGTCATTCAGATACAGCTCCTCGAGGTTCTCCAGTGTACCTGTGGGAGACAACCAGGAAGGTCACGGTTACCACCACCTTTCTTCGAGTACCCATAATGCACCATGTTCAACTTTCACACCCTGACTGTTCTCTGCAGGCTGAACTTAATAAAACCTGATATAACCACTGAGAATGGTGACTAACTCCTTCATTTTAAAAGAACACAGGGAGATATCGTGCCAAAACTGAAAGCCAAACTTATGTGTGGACATATCAATAGAGGCATGAAACAGAGGTACTGGACTGAGTTTCCTTACCAATCTCCTCAGGAAGATGTTGCAAGAGGTTTTCGCCCAGGCCAAGGTGAGTTAAGTTGGTGAGGTGACCAATTCCCCTCGGCAAGGTGCTCAGCTGATTATTTGTCAGGACAAGTTTCTGGAGAAAACCAAAGTGTCACCTTGCATCAACAACAAACCAAACCCAACGAAAGATGTAAAACGTAGCATTATTGTGAAAAGAAACGTGGTCTTTCAGCGAGATCCTCTGCTGGGCTAGCAATTTTTGTTTTTGTGTCTTAACGTAAATACCTGTAAATCTTTAAGGTAGGCAATTTCGTTGGGGAGGGTTTCTAACTTGTTCTCTTCCAAGTCCAGCTCCCGCAGTTTTCGTAGGTTACCGATGCCATGGGGCAGCTTCTTGAGAAGATTATTTGACAAAATCAGGACCTGCGGGGGAAAAACACACGCTTTAAAGCAACATAAAATATCAAGGAAAAATCGCCAGTTTTGCTGATGACACTATGCCAGAACATAGTAGTAAATCCGCTCACTACAAATCTTTCTGGTACTGTCTGACAGACATGACAGTAATAATGACAAGCATGAACTGCCTTGGCCTGCTATCCTGCCAAGCAGTGCATCACAACTCAAGAGAGCCGCACCTCAGTGAGATGCTGTAATCACTTCAAAGTCAGACCACTCCTATCGTTTTGTTGCTCTGCGGCCATTAGTTGCATTCCGTGTAGGAACAGCTTTGGCTAGCAGACATATCGGTATTGATCTGTTGATCTTTATTTACAGTAAAAGCAGGCTGAGATCTGACGAGCCGCACCTCCACATCCGCCCAAAGCTACTGGGCTCTCATGTTCACTTAGAAGATTGAAATCAACTGCAACACAATTAGAGCCAGAGAGACCAAGCAAATACCCTCATCAGACGACAGGACAAGCTTTGGTATTTGAAGCTGCTTGACTAGTTAGCAGAGAGACACACAGTCGAGGTTTTGGTAACTAAAAGGCAATGTGGTCGGTCAAGTCTGTCTCCTAAGAGACAAAAGTATCGCCAATTGGTTTCAACAAGTATCCTTGGACACTTTTCAGTTACAACACCAAGTGCTATTTTTGGAACGGGATACTTTCAGAAGACGATAACAATGACAAAAAACTTCCTTGTTTTTTTGGGGGGGTTTTTTGTACTGGCATCTGATCTGGCCAATGCAGACTCGGACTATGATGCTGAACAGGAGCAAAAGAGGAAGCGATCAAAAATAATAATAATAATAATAATAATAATAAAAAAAACATGGCTGCTCTTTTCAGGTTCAAAGTTAGGTCAGAGATACAATACCCACCTCAAGGGACACTAGGCCACAGATATCCTCAGGGATCTTTGTCAACTGGTTTGTGGCAAGATTGAGTTCTACCATGCTGACCCAGGTCCCGAAGTCAAGCGGGAGGGATGTTAACTGGTTGTCCTGGGGAACAAAGAATGAAAAGAATTTTTTGATTCAGGCTAGCATAGGAAACCCCCTTCACACACTGCTGGGATTTATACATCTAAATTATGCAGCCACCCATTTATCTCCCACGTTTAACACGTTTCTGGTTCACTGACAGGCTACTCTATTTGAAATGGTTATGGACACATAACCCAACAATCACCAGTTTCCCTTCCTCATTTGGCAAAAAAATACCAACAGTTCCCGGCCAGCAGGGGGCGGCCAGCCATCCATCCATCCATTGTCCAACCCGCTTATCCTACTGGGTCGCGGGGGGTCCGGAGCCTATCCCGGAAGCAACGGGCACGAGGCAGGGAACAACCCTGGACGGGGGGCCAGCCCATCGCAGGGCAATTTAGCAACGCCAATTAACCTCAGCATGTCTTTGGACTGTGGGGGGAAACCGGAGTACCTGGAGGAAACCCCACGACGACACGGGGAGAACATGCAAACTCCACACACATGTGACCCAGGCGGAGACTCGAACCCAGGTCCCAGAGGTGTGAGGCAACAGTGCAAACCACTGCACCACCATGCCGCCCCTGCGCTTGTATGTTTTTAATAAATGTTCGATCAACAGCTCACTGAAGAGTAATTAACATCAGCTGGGGAAAAACAAGCAAACAAGTCTTTCTCCAAACCATTGGCTCGTCAACATAAGAGGGGTAAAGCATGATCTCAGAGATCCTGATGTTCTCAGCTAGTTCACAGATGATGGCCACCACTCCGCCAATCCACCTGCAGAGAAAGTCGGCTCACCTTCATGTTGAGTTTGCTCAGCACTTTGGCCCGGGAGAAGATCCCGAAGGGAATCTTGTTGATGCGGTTGTGCTCCATGTTGAGCGAGTAGATGGTGGAGAACTGGGAGGGGCCCCCAACTGGGTAGGACTGAAAGCAGTTCCGCGCCAGAGTTAAACTGGTCAGGTTGACCAGGCTTGACAGGAGGCCCTGGGGACAAACAAAAAGCCAGGTGACACCAGGCAAAGGTGACGTGTCACACGGCTCCATACGGATGTTCACTGCAAAGCTGCTGGACGTAAAGTTACTTCATCACTTACTGAACAGGGACCATGCAAGGCCTCTTGGGCTAGAATGGCCCAGCTCAAAGTGCGGAGATAAAGTAAGTGTCCTCGAGCATTACTTTGGGAAATTTCAAACCCGGAAAAGTATATCAGAAGCTTAACAGTCTGTGGTGTCACAGAGCCACCACTAAGCACTGTAGAAATTCACAGGATTATCACGAAAATCTACAGAAGGGAAACTGGAACACTGGAAAAACAAGGAAAACTAGCATCAGCACATAAGCAATGTGCATTTGTGTGACACTGCATTTAGAAAAGTATCCATCTTTGGTCAGTGAACTAGATGTTAAATTAGACATTTTATACCCCGACATGTAACTAGGCCATATAGGTCCTTCATGGCCGCATCTCACAACGATAACGTGTGAAATGCACAACTTCTCATAACAAAGGAGGCTGAGAAACATCGTCAAGTCTCACCGCTCTGGGAAACATGCATCTACTAACGTGTGCTTAGGTGGAAACCAAGATGGCCGCAGTGCATGAGGGTGTTTGCCACTCACCTCAGGCAGCATAGAGATGTTGTTGTTCTCCAGGTTCAGCTCCTCCAGCTCCCGGCACTTGGCCAGCGATCGAGGGATTGCCGATAGCCTGTTGTAGCGCAGGCCGAGGCGGTTTATGCTGGCCAGGTTACCTGGAAAGGCGGCAGAGAGAGGGTACAGTGGTGATGCCCGGGAGGCCGGAACGCAGGACGCTGTGGTTGGGAATTCAACAGAGGGGGCAGAGAACCAGAGCACAGACATGTACACTGGGTGTGTCCAGTAGCCGTCACTACGCCCCCCTCGATTTCTGTCTTAGAGGCTGCGGGATTTTTTTCGTTAAAAGGGATCCTTATTTATCTTTTTACATATATATATATATATATAAACCAAAAAAAAAAACCTTTTGCTGTTCACATAAGCTCTGTCCCTGAATGCTTATTTCTGGAAACATAATTTCATACTCAGTAACATGTTAATTATTGACAAAACATAACCCGACTTTGTGAATTACGATTTCACTCTAATGTTCTGTTCCGTTCCGCTAAACCAAGCAAGACGTTCTGCTGCGTTTTGCGGATACCTGAAATACCACCTGAATCAGCGAGATTAGTCTCACATTTTTTTGGTCGATTTTACCAAGGCAAACTCAGCTATTCATTTGCGACTCGGTAGAGATGTGGCTGAGCTAAATGACGCACTCAGATGATAACTGGTTAGTGGGAGGATGAGCTGTCTGCGTGTCGGCCTAACCCTAACCCTAACCCATTCGCTCCACAGACACCTGCAGACGTTTAGAAAATCTGCTGATGAGGTTAGTTAGGAAGCCTCCAGCTCAACTGGCTGCACTTTGCAAATCCAGGCACAAATGCTCACACGCTTCAGCACTGTAGAACAGTCGGGGTAACATCACAGAGAGTCGGCATCATATACCTAACACCAACCATTACTATCGCTAATACCAATCACACTGCCATCAGAATCTTCAACACAGTGGTCTAAAAACGTCTAAAAACTCTTATGTAAAATGTGCAGAATATCATTCCTTACACGATGCCCAGCAAGACGCGCAGATGACTTAAAAAAAAGCCAAGTAAGTGATAATACACTCTACTAGCTACATTGCCTAGGGAGTGTAACAATTTCTGGATTGGTCAACGCTTTATTTTATCTATCAGCTAACGACTCATCCTTACCCAGTTAACCACACGTAAATTCTTAAAAAGGTATTTCATTTCGATTTTTTTTTTTTGAAATTTTAAAACTTTCTGATTTGCCTCCGACTCCCAAGAAACCATCAGATACAGATCAAGGCCTAAATCTGCCAGAGCTTCTCGTACCTCCACAAAAATGCTGCACAATGCACCACAGCACCCTCCCCGCGTCAAATGAGAATCAGAACTAATCAGAAGGTTAATGCAATGCAGCCACTGCATAACCGCACAGTCTGAGCAATCACGAGTCGCACTCGGATCGAGGCCGTAAACAGAGAGGGCTTTCAGGCCGAGGTCTTGCCATACGCCCCCCAGCACGGCTTTGCAGCCAGGCTAGATGATCGACAGCACTCTGCTCTGGCTCCGCTGCCACCTCCTCTACAGTCTCAGTCTGATTCGCAGCACAATACTGAAACCATGCCACTCACCTATAGTTTCGGGAAGGTCCAGAAGCTCATTGTGCTGTAAGTCGAGGTTGGTGATCTGCGTGCAGTTGCCGATTTCTTTCGGGAGATGTTCAAGCTGATTGTGGGCTACATCCAGGGTGATGAGATTACACAGCTCCCCTGAAAGGCCACACAAACACCGCAAAACGCTGCTAATTAACACTTGCTGCAGTTTATTTATAGTGGGGCGGGGGGGGGTGGGGAGGGGTGGGCAGTAAATGGCTCAGGCTTGTAGCCTTCAGAGGATTTACATGCTGCAGTTAAGGTGACAAACTGAACAGTGTTACGACAACAGCAGTGAGTTTTATGAGACTTCTGGTCACTAACAGGTCCTCATAGTCTGTTATAAAAAAAAAAGAGTCACATATTCATTTACAAATATACCAGCTTTACGCAGAGTGGAGAAGCATCATCACTAGTTAGTTCACACTCCTTTTTTTAAAGTGCCCACTTTAAACCAGATTCAAAGCAGCACTCTGCATGACATCACATTTTATAACATAGTTACAGCAGTATAAAGGTTGTAATATTTGTGTGCCTGTATGAGATTCAATGTTTACAGCTGTGAGGTTTCTCTCATTCGCTCATTCATACATTCGCTCACTCCCCCATTCACTCATATTCACTACCTCATACATTCACTCATTCACTACCTCATACATTCACTCATTTATTCACTGTCTCACACATTCACTCCCTCATGAATTCCCTCCCATGCACTCACACATTCTCTTCCTCCCAAATTCACTCACTCAGTATCTCACTCATTCACAGATATTCACTCCATTCCCTCACACTCACTCCGTCACTCACATATACACCCATTCACGCACGCAATACTCATTCACTCACTCGCTCACTCCAGTCCCGCACGCAATCAGTCATTCACCTATCTCAGCGGGCAGCTGCTTGATCTTGTTTTCCCGGATGCTCAGCATGGTCAGCTTGGACAGGTTCCTGATGTCCTTCTCCACGCTGGTGATGCGGTTGAAGCGCAGGTACAGCGTGGTCAGCGAGCTCAGCCTGTAGACCACCGGCGGGATCTCGCGCAGCTTGTTGTGCCGCAGGTCCAGCATGCGCAGTTTGCGCAGGCCGTCTAGCGAGTCGGGCAGGCTGGTCAGCGAGTTCTCGCTCAGCGCCAGCGTCACCAGCCCCGACAGGCAGCCCACCTCGGCCGGAAGGCTCTGTAACTTGTTGCTGTACAGGTAGAGCTCGGCCAGCTGCGTCAGCTCCTTGATGGAGGTGGGCAGGGCGTGGATGGAGCGCTTAGACAGGTCCAGCCGCATGGAGTTCTCCTCCCTGCACTTGTTCAGCTCCTTCACCACCTCGGCGTTGCTGGACTTCTTGCGCATGCCCGGCGCCGGGTTCGGGCGCTTTATCGTGTTGTCCACGGAGAAGGCGACGCCGGGCGGGGCGCCGCTCGTTTCCTTACGTCCTTCTTTGGCGTCTTTCCCTTTGGTCTTGCTGTCCTTGCCATCCTTGCCGAAGCCGCCCAACGGTTTGACCTCCTTTTCCCTTTCTTTCCCGGTGGGACCCTTGGGGTCTTTCTCTTTCGAGTCCTTGTCTTTGCCTAAAGTACTACTCATGTCGACGGTGCCCGGTCCAGTTCGCTCATGGACCCTGAGTCTCTGCTGTTCGCTTTACGGTAAAAAAAAAAAAAAAAAACAAACGAAAAAACAAAACAAAACGAGAGGCGCGGGGGCGGGAAAAAAGGGGACGCGCAGTCAGGCGTGCGCGTATGCACACATACCGGCGCGCACACACACACTCCCGCGCGCGTGACGGCAAAAGCCCCGGGATCCACAGGCTTTAAAACTCCATGGGACAGAAAGGCCTTTGAAGCAGAGGGAGAGGTGCGATGGCTCGCAGCCGCATACTGTTCAGGAGATGGCGGCCCCGTCTCTGGGTGGAGTCCCGTTCAGATGAGAAAGGTCACGAGGGCTCTCATCCTTCGGGTTTGCTGGTGAATAAAACAAAACAAAATTAAATAAAACAAGCAGAAACACACCTTAACCTCAGGCAGACAAACGAAACTGACACGAAATTTCTGATAAACTTCTTCTAAGGGGGAAAAGAAATCCCCCCCCAGGTGTGACATATTAATGGACACAGCAAAGGGCATTTCAGATGAACATGTGAGCATGGGAACCAGTGTACCCAGACAGCCACGGGAAGCAGCGAGGAACCCGAGACCAATCCATCTGGGGCAACTCCCAGCCACCATTTATTACTTCTGGAAAGCATTAAGCACTCGCATAAAAGATTCCTGATGAACCCATTTCTGCCACGCATTAAAAGCCAGCCGGAAATGGCTTTATCTAACGTGAAGATCGAGAAAGATGTCCAGCGAGATGCGGGCGAAAACTCAAAACGGACTCGGTTCAGAGGCGGGGCACGTCGAAGGACGGGGCATCTTCGAGGCAGGGAGGGTGGCAACAAAGGACAACGGTGAAACCCCAAACCGCCACAGCGGAAAGCAGCGACTAAGCGGCGAAGTAATATCGGAATCGCAGAGCCGAAAAAATACTTTCACCTTTGAAGAGACATCTTGCTGAAAGTCGAAACCACATTCATTCTGTTACTTTTTCTTTCAGTTTTATTACAAATCAACCCAAACCGTTATCAGTCTCATGCCATTTTAGAGATATTAATTGTCTGTTGGTCCGCAGTGTTGTGTTCCATGTAGTTTATTCTGTAGTTTAGAGCGTGGGGTTTTGCAATATGGAACCCCATAAAAATACGTCATATAAGCTAAATCATACCACCCCGACCGCTTGAGAGGTGCTTAGAAATGAATGCAACAAAGTAGGAGGCCAGAATTAGAAAGCTGAGGTCAAAAAGCTTATACACCGACTGTAAACAAAAGCCCCAATTTATTTAATCAACCAGCTAGAACATGATTACTCGTTTCATAAACTTCAATCACATCATGAAAATCAAAGTTGCATAGGAGAATGTGACCTGAACTGAGGAGTTTAGCTGCTTGAACTTTATGGGACCATTTAAACTAAACACAAATGAGATGTTAGCCATCCAGTCTATCAGAATATCTATCTATTACTGCATATACCAGACCATCATTTAACCCCTGAATATTTAACACTTACTTAAAGAGGTGAAAGTTCTCGAGATCTATTTTGCAACGATGTACTTCATAAGGCCAAGAACTGATGGGTAACCGGCTAACCTTCTCTGTGCAAAGGAGCCGTAGGGCCCTACAACTTCAGCCATGTACCGGAAATTCATGAAAGCCAGATACGGGAAAGGCCCGGGACACTGAGCTAACCAACACGAACAGCACTTACCCACAAGCACGTAATCGTGTAAATCTAAATAATTAGCAGGCACATAAATTACAGTAACTGCGACGCGACACAGCACGCATACCGGGAATTACGACTCCTAATTCACGTCACTGGTAAACAGAACAGGACAGGGATTCTTTGACCTGGCCCGTTAAGTGCGAGAGGCGGGTTGAAAGGAGAGCGCGTGGCTGCAGATCACAGCCACCAAAAGGTTAGAGCCGCTGACAGCGCGAGGCATCTTCAAAGCCCCGAGACTCCCTGCAGGCAGCGTGACCTTTACGGTGAAAGGGGCCGAACGGCGGATAAATGACAAAGCATTATTCAGTTTGTGCTCAAGTAGCAAGGCCCGAATTTGCCATATTAATCGCTGCGCGTGTGTGAGTGCACTTTGTTTTTCTCCTTTTTGAAATGAGAAACAATGTGGGGGGTGTTTTTTTTTCTTCTTATTGACACACTCCCCCCGTGGTTACGGTCGAGAGATACGCATGCAAGTGGCGCATTAAAAAGCACTTTAGGAGAAAACTATCTATTCTGTACTTGTACTTTTTCTGCATGCGCAACATACGCTGCTCAGCCAGCACTGATGTGGCATGTAAACATTACTTGAGTGAGAACTGAAAAAGAAATATTGTGAAATCCACTCATAATAACTAGCCTGATGACGTCATTTAAGTGGCTAATAACTGCATAGACATTACTTAAAGGAGCCCAACAATCACGTTTATAGGAAACCTCACTTACAGATTGGTAGGCTGACTATCTGATTCCTAGATGCACATATAAAACTGACCTTTTGCGAACACTCTCTCTGATTGGCTGACATAGTGGTGCCCAAGCTACATCACTTCCTATTAGTTACCAACAACTGGCTAACATTTCCCAGTACAAGCTTCAGAGGCATGCTAAAGCAAAAATGCCCGGGTTGATTTTTATGCCACGGCCCAAGCTAACCAGACTCATCTGTTAGAGCCAACAGCCAGCTATCAACACAGAACTGCTTCAGACTGCGAGCTGGAATATGAGAACCAGTCTGACTGGGATCATTAATAGACACAAAGGCTCAGAAGAGTTGCCATGCTTTTGGCAATTAAGCTAAACTCCTGAGTGACTGATTACTTGATTATTCAGGCTGATTGTTAAATTTACAACCAAGATAAATGTTACACTGCGTGATAACACACCTCTATATGCAGTGTACAACATTACAGTTCATCTTGTACATCAGGTAACAGCTTAAGACAGTCCAAACTTCTAAATCCATCATCAGATACCTCCAGTTAAGTTTCTAAGAGGGGACATTACTACTGTACCCTTGACAGGGACAGTTGAATAAGTGACCTGCCTCAGCGAAACATTTCACAGAAGGGAAACAAGCATGTAATTATTTGTTATATATGTTTCTAGATATAAAAACGTCTTTTGAGCAATTACATGTAAAACTGCATCCACCAGAGGATAACAGTAATCTGCGCACTACAAAATATCTGCCAGTTACCAAGTGACAGGCCTTAAACAAATAAAAACACAGTAATCAAGGAATCAAAAAAAATCTTGCATGCGAGATCAGACTGACTGGGAACCTATGTTATCATCACACCAAGTTAATATTAACTACCACTACGGTGCGGTCACAAGCTGAAACCGAGACCATAACTGAAGAAAACCAATCCAACCAGCATTGATTCCACGGTCGAATGTGAAAATGATATATTTCTGAATAACGTCAGATTTTAGAACGAGATAAACGGAAGATACTGACAAACATTATGCAACTGAGCCTGTAGGGAGAAAGAGAGAGAAGACGAGTCTACATCAGGGTCAATGGATGACCGGTATCACATTGCTTAATTTTCCATAACTGATGCAACGATCCTGTATCCCAGCACCCTCCGTCCTCACTCCTCCAGAATATCTCCTGGAATTATTGGGAGGGGGAGGGGGGGGGGTGTTGAAATGAGATCAGCTTTTCGTCCATTTGTTAACACACAGATTCTGGCTTGTTCCTTTAAATCGCACAACAGCTTGCACGACATTCTACAACATGTGGGTGTGCATTTCTGTTCCTCTGTCAAACGCTGTGGAATCAGCTCGAGAGGATTACAGTCAAGTGCACCGTTTCTGCGCTCATCAGCCGTCAATCGCAAACTGTCACCTTGCACTATTCCTTCTGGAACCTGCCTTTAATTAATCTCACATATTTATCATCACCATCATACCTCGCAGTGGTTTATTTTTAAAAATTAACCAGTCATGCCTTCTGGTGGCATAAGCTGGTAAGTAGGGTATACACTTGATATGTAGAGTAAATGTGCAGGGGAATGAACTTACACTTAGAAATTGCTCAGCTGGTTCACACAATGCAATTTTTAGTTCTCACACCGATTTCAATGTTTAACCCAAATCAGTGGCTGTGGGCAGGAGGCTTAGGAAGTAAAACCCAAGGTGTTGAGGATCATGGAGCCATAAAAGATATACTGTAGTGAGGCAATGCCCACACCCAATTTGACAGATCACCTAAAGGTCACCCCAGAAAGGGGCAACTCATTAACAATTATTTCAAAAACACTTTTTTTCCCCCAACATGCACTCGGATCGCATGGATGTACCAGCTTCATCGGCTAGTAAATAACATGCAATTACCGCATGCAGGGGATTAATAATGAGCAGATTTCGGCATCGATTGCCGTGTGAGGCCAGCTGAAGCATGGGGGGTGAGCAACTATCCTATTTAAAAATGGTGTTTTCCTTGTTTGTATGTTCCATCGATACAGAATACAAACCACTGTTAAATCATTTTAGAGGATGAGTTGTCACTTATCAGCTTTTGGGGGGTGGGAGGTTAGCAAGCAAAGCTGTCAATAGAAGTTGGTGTCTGCCAGCGATCTGGGGGACAAATATTGAAATAAAAAATAAGCACAAAACCACGACAACTACATCTCCACAGTAATGCTGCCGTTAATGTGGCAGCTAGCAGGAGATACCCCATTACATGCAGCGGGGGTAGAAATTAGCCATTACCAGCTAGTGGGATGTGTGCATATTACTGGCGTAATCATAACACTGTCCGTCCCAATAATCAGGGGCTAACAAACGAGAAACGGGCATTTACACCCCGCTGCAACGGGGCGTCTTCGCGCGACTGCATCTCCTTTTGATTTGTTTTTTTTCTCCCCTTTTTCCTTAACTCACGTTTAAAAAATTGTATCAATTCCACCAAGTCGCTGGCTAACCGCCACGCCACACCCGGAACTGGCTCCCCGGTTCCTCGTAGGCCGCTCCGCAGGCTGCTGTCACCCGCGAAACGACGTCGGCATCCCGACAAGCCCGAGCCGGGTGGAAAGGAGCCGCGGCGTAAAGCGGCAAACGCTCCGTGGCCGCTGGCGCTGGCGCCGCCGCCAGACCGACACCAGCCCGCCCGGGAGCGCCCCGCTCGGCCCGGCCCCTCTCGCTATTTCGATCCGCTCAGGCGCCCGGGGCGCCCGACGCAAAAATTTCGCCACCTTGACACAAATTCGCCGCGGCTCTTTGTCTGTGGGGAAAATTCGCGTATGTACGCGTGTGTCTCCCTTTTATTAGACATAAAGAGGAAAAAGGCACACAGAGTCGCTCCACACAGCGGCCATTCCGAAACTGAACAAAAGAGAGCATTTTCTCTCCTTGCAAAACAGGGACAAAATCGACATGACCCGCCGAGACAAAGGGGGACGGCAGCAGAGGGGGGACCCTCATCACCCCCGGCGTCAAAATCGCACTCGATCGCAAGCAGATGGCGAATATGTGCGTAGTAATAGAGCCGTTTTACCTTCAGAGGTGTGACTCGGCCATCCTCGCTTCCTCCTCCTTTTTCTACACTGCCTGCTGCTCTGTCCCCCCCCTCCCTGCTCGCGGACCTGCGTCACACGCACGCACGCGCTACCGCTCTATCACGAGACTTTCTTGGACGGCGGCGCGGCGCCCCGTCTGGACGGTCAAGCGAGTCTGACCGGGGCTCGGGGGGCTCGGGGTACCCGGGGTACCCGGGGTGGGGAGGCGTGGGAAGCGAGAGCCAGCCAGCTACACAGCAGAGCATTGCAAAGCCCCCCCCCGCCCCACTTCGGCGAGCTGCCGGACGAGCGTCGGCGCGGCGGCGCACAAGTACGACAAAGTTAGTGTGCGCTCCCGTGTTCATGAAACGGTGTGTTTATTAATCCAAGCCCATGTTAGTGAGAAGCATGTCTATTTGTGGAGGGAGGCTGAAATCGAGCGATGATCTAACTGAGCATTCCAATGCATTCTGGCAGACATCTATAGTTATACAGCTGCGAGTGTAAACACGAGTGCGACTGGACAAATATAATAAAGTTAGTCAGTGCATGCTATTTTTTTAATGGCAATGCTTCAGTTATAAAGTTGACTTTAGTCGCGTGTGTAAAAGCAGGGGTGGATACAGAAAACGCCTTTGTTTGCGGCTACTTTTAGCTCGCTGAACAGTTAAAAATGATGATGATGTAATTGTTATTCACAACAAGACATTATTGATGTAACCCGCTGAGCCTAGCATACTACAATTCCCGACAAGCACTGCAAAGCTACTTCCGGTTTTCGGCGTTATAGCCTATAAGTAGCTAGCTAGGCTAGCTAGTGAGTGAGAGCTCCGTTCTGTTTACCTAGGCGACCAAAATAGTCAAGCATTGTGCAAAATTTATCCTAGCACCGAGCGACAATCGACGGGTACCAGTTGCGTCTTTTTTGTATGTTTACATATCATGGGTTTTGGAGTAGGCTCGATGATTACCTCGTTAAGTACTTAGCTAGTTATATTATGTGCATGATTAGCTGTTAGCAAGCTTATGGTGAAGTTTAGTGAATAAACTTAACGTGCCCATTCCACGGCAGGCGTTATACACCGTTATAAACGTAGCAGCTGGCAGTTTGTTATCGGGCACGGAGGGTTACGTGGTTAGTTAATACTTGACAGATTAGAGCCATCAGTCTGATCTGTTTGACTAAATAGGTGATGTCTAACTCTCTATTTTGATTTTATGAGCACCCGCTGGGCAACCTCTTTTATGTAGTTACTCGTCACCGATTGAATGGCTAGCTGACGTCTATATAAAATAACTGCCCGATTAAAACTGCGTACTTACTGGTTGGTGTGCTGGTCGACCAACGGAGAATGGCGTGTTTATGTTTCCGACAGATCCTCTTAGTGACATGCCCGAAGTCAAGCCCATGTTCCGAGAAGTCCTTCCCAAACAAGGTAAGCCGGGCAGCCAGGGGAAAGGGGGAATACTCTGTTTACATTCCCGCCTCTTCTAGTTAATAAATCCATGCCTGGGGCAAATCAATTTTCAGATAAGGTCCGCCCAGATAAAGACACACACCAGTACGCCGCATTCCTGCTGCTTGTCTACAACATGCCTGGAGTCCATCCATTCACGCTAGTTATCATGTATATCTAAATGTCTATTTAATACTTCACTTTAGAAATGTCTGACAGGTTTCATAAATGGCTGATACTATCTAGAGGAAAATGTTCTTTCATGGTACACTTATTCTTATTTACAGTAGCTGTCTTGTCGTAAATATGTCCAGCCGACTTGGCAACACAAGCCGTCACATATAAGATGCATTGAAACTGCTGTTAAAATCGTAGAAATGACAGTGGCGCGTCATCATGTTCAGGGCGACTCTCCATGGACGATGTGCCCACTATGGTCCTCTGCAAGCCTAAACTTCTGCCGCTGAAGTCTGTCACCCTGGAGAAACTGGAGAAGATGCAGCAGGAGGCACAAGAAATCATTCGGCAGCAGGAGGCTGCACTGAAAGAGCAGAGACAACAGGAGCAAGCCCAGTCTCAGTAGGGACTGGGGGTGTAATAACAACATCTGCCATTTGGGGGCGCAGTATGGTCACAACCTAATAATATCCTAACATATCACAGTAGCTAGGGTGAACTTCCCCAGTGTACCCACTGAATACATTCTAGCATAGAATAGTAAGTATGGTGTAGCGCTTTGTGTGCTTCTGGTTGATTGTGAGTGCTCTTAACCACCACTAAGAGGGTGTTTACCCGTTTCATGTATTTAGGAGCTCTAGGGAGATTGTCATGGTAACAAGTTAATCCCTCGAAGTAGTTCACTGGACTTTCATGTAGCCTGTTTAGTTTATATTTCAATATTGGACTACTGCACTCAATGGGTAGATGGCATATTTCAATTTCAACTATTTAATCTTTACTTTTAATATTTAATCTCAACTTACCTTGGGAGCAAGTTGTGTGGGTAGCATGTTTCATAAGAGTGGATAAGTTTAGGCTTTTTTTGAGAATCATCAGTGACCTTTAAAAATTGTGCAAAACTAGACGTAGCGGAACTTTCCACTGTCTGATCTAGTGCAGGAACGCATGCTTGGTATCCTCTGTGTCACATTAGCTGCCTGTAATGCAGAATGCAAATTGGTTGGGTTCCTTTGGGTAGTTGCTATGTCTCATTTAGCTCTGCAGTGTCACCTACTCTCAGCCAGGGCAGCTACACTGTTGTGGGCAATAGGCTCTTAAAACCACGGGTTGCCTTAAAGTACACAGTGATTCTAGTGGAAACAGTGTGAGCTCACCATGCACTGAGAGGAGAGACCTTTGAGAGATGATGTAAAATATGGGTGGAGGGCATTACACCAAGATCAGGATTTACTGCTGGCCAGGGATCTGTATAAAGGACTTAAGCTTCTCATTTGCAGCAGAAACAGAAACTTCCATATTGAAACCATCAGTAATCACAAGAGTGACTGAAAAGATTTTTTTCTTTGCAGTTTATTGTAAACATGAACAGCGAGCAAGACTGGGCACATTTCACTTACCAGTGTTCTTAAATATAAAAATAAACATTCTAGACACCATTTTGTGAAATTTTCTAAATACTCAACTTTGCTCTGCATTCTGTTCTTCATAACCTTCAATTTCGCGTCTGCGAAAGGGGAAAAAAAAAAAAGAGACTTTTTTTTTTTTTTTTTTTTTAAGCACAGCAAAGAAATAGCAGCCAACAGGGGCGTAGCTGCTGACCCCATACCGGCTTCCTTTTTAAAGCTGGATGCACAAACCCGCGACTTTTGTACGAACACTGCTGTCAGGGAAACCATGGCAGTGACATCGGAACTCAAAAGAAAAGAAAATGGAATGACAGTGTCATTGAAAGGTGTGGCACTTTGAGACCAAGCTAGCTTATTTCTACACCGCCATCCATGCACGTCTCGGGTGAATCTTAAAGTGCCACTGCACCCGTTAACCCCCCCCACCCCACCCCACCCCCTTTTTTTTTTTATTATTAAATATACATTCTTTACAGCCGACTGAAGCAATTGGTACCTAAACCGTTAAATATACAAAAAAGGAAAGCTGGAGAATTCGGCTAGGATCTGGCACAAGAGAGGCTCCCAAGTTCTTTAGTAGCTCTCTGGTTTAAGGCGTCCGCCGTCCCCCTCACTGACGAAGCGCTTGCGCCCTCTGTAGGGGGAAAAAGGAAAAATCATCACAGTGGTTCATTTTTTTTTTCTTCCAAGGACTAAAGTGCAAAAATTTTTATGCGAACTACTTTAAAATGTTTCACGATTCAGAAAATTTCACACATGGGGGCAGCAGTGTCCTTCCTACCCCTGTATGCTGATGCACGGAGGCCTTAACCTACAAACGGCTCTGAAACCAGCTCGAGTCTCAGAAAAACCTAAAGGACAGCACTGATGCAGGTAGACCTGGTCTGACCAGACTGACCATGAAGCAGCTGCACCATAACCCACCGATAAGGACACAGGTCCTTCACGCTTTTGTCAATGATCCCAGCGCTGAAGCTCTTCTCAACAAACTGCTCCAGCGCAGAATAGGCACTTGGCACATCAATGTTAATCTCCGCGATGTCACTGTAAACTCTCTCAAATCCCTGGAAAATGATGATAAAATAAAATAAAAAACAAAAAATAAGCTGTGCGACGCAACGATTTAAAATGTGTTTGATCCTAGAAGCACCAGGGGGCACCATTACCCTTCTTGTTTGGTCCACAGTGATAATGGAGGACTCACAGAGGAATTTCAGCAACTGCAGCACCATTTTAAATGTCTTTTCCCCTTTGGACTCCAGAACCATGACTATTGCCTAATTTTAAAGACAGGCAGTATGAAAACTGTGTTAATCATCTTTGATATTTATATTCATGAGAATAAAGCACAGTTACAGACAACACAGTCATTGCTTTGCTACCAGCATAAAAGTTATCATTCATCAGCTCAGAGCGGACAAAGCACAGAAATGTCTGCCGTACCTCATAGACAAACTCATGGTGGAAGTGTGGCACCTCCAGCTCTCTGAGACATCGCTCTGCCTCCACCACGTCACCCGACAACACGTACTCCTTCAGCAGGAGGTTAACCTGCGACAGGACCAGGCAGAATGAAACCGCAACGGCTCACAAAACCGCTCAGCGCAACACAGAGGACTGATAAACGACACTCGGCTTTTGAGTGCGTGTCACGTAAACAACACGGGGACTAAATCAGCTGCCATTTATCTGCTGACTATTAATTCTGGTCTGGATCAGCACTGGGCACAAGCTTGGGTACACCCTGGATGGGATGCCAGTCCATCGCAGGGCACACAAATGCAATAAAACTACAGGCAATTTAGAAAGGCCTAATGGCATTTTTTTGGATCTTGCAAGGAAACTGCAGTACCTGGAAGAAATCTGGGTTATATTTCCCAAAAGGTCCCAGAGTTGGAACCGTTTAGGTGCCTGGTTACAGTTATGTACATTTTTAACATTGTTAGCAACTATGCTTTTTGAGAAACGCACCCCTGTATGAGGAGAATATGCAAGCTTCACGCTGACCTGAATCCAAACCCCTAACATTTAAGTAGCGAGGGAACAGCATTTCTCACCAAGCTGCCCTTTTATCGATTAGCAATACGCTCAAATCATTGGGGAATCGTGTCCTCACCTCCCTGACGAGCTGCGTGACGGGACGTTGGCCCCCACCGCTCCCCCACAGGTTCTCTATGCGTCGGCCTCCCCTGTTCATTTTGAGCAACACAGCTGCCCTGTCCAGCGCCGCTCTGTCAATCAATCAGCCAATCAGAGATTGGCCACGCCCCCAGCGATCATGTGACTGACCCCACAAACGAGCAACGGTGGATAACACGACATTCAGTATCCCCACAACCAACACGATACAAGAACCTGTCAGTGAAGGGTTACAAAACTAGATCCAAAGAGCCTTTGAATATGAGATATTCCCAAATACGAGATACCTGGCGTGTTCACAGTCCACTTTGCCTTTGTAACTGTCAATGTAGCTCTTGGACAGGATTTGGTCCCTGACGGCTCGAGCGATGAACTGGCCCACAAGCTGCAAAAGAAGGAAAAGAGCTGGTAAACAGTATTCATTTACACACCAGGGTTACCTTGAAATGCAAACAGTCATACAAACACCGGCCCGTGACTGAATTCAGGGAGTACCACTCCACACCGATGGGATGCTCAAATTTTAAATCAGAGAGAGAATACAGTAGCGCTGCAGTGACATTTCATGCACTCTCCATAAAATGCGAAAGGGAGGGAGGTGTTTAGACAGCCCTTTCACAGATGGTGTGACATGGCGTGCGCGTTTGTTTGCATGGCTATTCTCCCGCTACAATCCAGGCAGGAGGAGGCTGCCCTCGTGCTCCTGTGAGGAACAAAGCCGGCCCTCAGCCGCCTTTGTCTGTGCGCAGAGTCTGAAAGCGCCACAGCACTTTTCATCGCCTGGGGACTCGGCTAGCCGCGTTGAGCTAGCTGACTGATGACGCACGGACAATGGTGGCAGCTCTTGTGTCGCTACGGGTGAAAGGGAATCGCTGAGAACTCGTCTCTGACCAGGGTGCCGGGCGTCAACGGGGAGATGGCTGACCGTTGGCGGGTCCCGCGCGTCTCATCTCCATAGCCACAGGCGCTAACTACCAGCTCCTCTGCCCCCCCCCCAGCAAGAAAACCCTCCCCCACGCCTCTCACCCTCAAGCCCTTCCCTTCCCCCAGCCGCTGACCTGCGGGGCGTCCGGCGTGTCCAGCACGAGGTCGGGCAGCTCCCTGAGCAGCCCGTCGAAGGCGTGCTCCACGTCGGCGAGCGTCAACACGCGGCCGCACAGTGCCGCCAGCAGTTGGGACGTCAGCTCGCGGTGGCTGGCCTTGGCTTCCAGCGCCAGGGACACGGCCAGTGTGGGCACGCCGCTCCGCATCGGGCCCAGGTTCAACTCACCCAGCAGCTCCTGGGGGACGGCGCCACAAAGGTCAGTCAGCTACCGGCCCTGGCTCTGGCTCTACTGTTGACAAGGCCCTTGAAGCAGCCAACTAGACAGCAGCTAAACCCCGGTCAAGACTATCGAGATCTGGATACTCATTAGAATGTTCTACCTGGTGGAAAACAGACTTCACAACCTAACACAGTCAACCACTCAACCCTTCAGGAAGCTTAGGGCGTGAAGAGGTTTTGTATCTTTTGTTGCATTTATTTCCCTTTTTGTGCTACTGGACAAAAGTTCCTTCTTATCTTAGAGGGATGAGGGGTAATTAAATTCAGCAGTGATTATGCTATAAAGATACACCCGCCTGTCAACTCCTGCCGTTCGGTGTAGCAAGGTCGAGGTCGGCGGGAAACTCACCGCGACTTCGTTCGTGTCCCCGTGCTCAAAGTACTCCTGCACGATGGGGGTGACAGTCTTCTCGAAGTCCCGCTCGTCCAACGGGAGGACCACGGTCTCATACACACAGTTCTCCTGCAGAGGATGTGTCACAGGGTCACAGGAGCCACCGCTGACGGTTTGGTAACGTTGCGGCAGCATTTGCATCCAAACAGATTAAGCCGCCATATAACGTTCAAGTGATTTTCTCAGCAGGCCTCCTTCGCTGTTCCTCATAACCCACATCAAATTACCATCAATGTTCCACCCTAAGCCCTCAAGCTCCCCCGAGCTACAGGCTGCTTTCATTCCATCTCGGTGCACAAGTACTAATCCTGAAAGCTTCAGCGTTAGAAGCAGGGAGCAAGATGCACACGTACGTCTGAAACTAACGGTGACACCCCTCCTCCGAAATGCACGCAATACCTGATCTTCATCGTAATTGGGGTCCTTGACATCGACTTCTTCATAATCGTACACCTCCCCAGGAGGTCCCCAAACTCCCTTTCCCCCGGCACCACCTGTGGACAGCACACAGAGACTCAGCCCTTCAGTCTCCCAGTGAGGACTCCGCCAGAACAGCCGCACCCCTCCCACCCGACGGCCCATGGCCGAAATTGGCTCTGGGGTTTGGATTTTGCATTTTCTGGTACTTTGTCATGCTCAGCCAGTCTTGCGTGTCTCCTTCTAAAAATATGCACGTGCACTAAATATTACATGTGAATCTATGACAGTTTTGGTGGCTTTCAGAGGAGACGATTAGACCTCCTTTTGAAGATCGTTTCAGAGCGGAACTGGAAAAAATAAAAAGTCTAGACCGATGTATTAATTGGGTTCTTGGACACTACGGACAACATTTCTCCTAGTTTAGCGAGCATAAAGACAAACACAAAAAACAGGATTTTTTTCTACACCTTCACAGTGCCACTGCCTGATCCCTTAAACCCATTAATAGCAGGATGAAGTGGTTAGCTGTGTTCATGGGAACCAATCGCTGAACAGCAGCTAAACTCTAGAACCTCAAACCAGAAAGCTGATTTGTCTGTAAAATGTTCAGTGTGTGTCTGACAGCAAAAAGAACCTATCAAATGTTAGAACAAGGAAATCCATCACAGCCACCTTCAAGGTAAACAAAATCACCAGCTATCAGAAAACTCCCATTGCGACAAGCCAGCATTTAGTTCATACATCACACACAGAAGTCTGTATACTAAAATAATCAAACAATTCATTTATTCTGTCAAGTCCCACCTGCAGGAAAAGAAAACTCACTTTACTGGTCTGTACTTACACAACAAGAGTTAGGAAACCCATCAGAGAAGCAAACTTCAGCCAAAAGCAGCTCTGGAGGACCCAACTGTACTTTACGCTGTGGATGCACGGTGCACTTTGTTTAAGAAGCGCCTCCCTCGAGCAGGTCGCTAAACAAACATTAGGCTGGAGCACCGATCATGCGATTTTCTGTATTTCAGTCCTGTCAGGGCTGCAGCTTTCAGGGCTGATTGTCCATTTGCTGCCTTGGTAGTGCCCGCCCCCCCATCATCCAGACATACCTGCACCACAGGCTAATCTGCACCACAGAAAAAAACCAACCGCCACTGGCACAAAGTCCAGGGAGTGTTATTAAAGCGCCTCTTACATAAGCAGTGAGTTTCATAGCCTAGGAATGAAAGCAAAGTGCCCAGGATAACCAGCTCCCAGCTCCACACCTCAGCTGCTGCGGTTTAGGGTGTCATTAGAGACCCAGTAACATCACGAGAACCTCAGGCGGAACAATTCCGACCGCAAAGAAACATCTCACCTCCTAAACTCAAACCACAATGTGATGGAGCTGCCTGTGTTCACACCTTACTGCATTACAATCACAACCCCCTTTCCAAAAAAAAAAAAAAGTTAGGACGCTGCGTAAAATGTGAATAAAAACAGAATGCAATGATTTACTAATCATATAAACCCACAAATAAACTGCAAATAGAACAAAGAGAACATATCAAATGTTAAGACTGAAATATTATTGTTTAATGATAATTATATGCTCAATTTGAATCACTGGATTCTGCTGTATTTACATTTTAGACAGTGTCCCAACTTTTCTGGAAACAGGGCTGTAATCACACAATACGGTTCTTTATGACGTAAAAGTTACCCTTCAGTTCACACACTGCAATGTACGTTAGAGGTGGAGACTGATATGCATGAAGGGCTCGGGTTCCATTCACAGCTTATTTGTGTCAAATCACTTAGCAACAGTGCCAATGTCAGCTGGACCACATGTAAACAAATAACAGGCATCACTGACATCAGCAGCATGTTGCTGATGTGACAGAATCTAAGTGGGCCCTGTGTGAATGACGGAGCTTGATTTGACAGGAGGCGGAGCCGAAAGCCTTTCCAACCACCGACAAGTACAGATAAAAAGCACGAACCCTTTTTTGGCAGGCCCCTCCCTTTGCCCAGTCGAGACTTCCTGTCCAGCAGCTTGCTCTTGGGGCTGGTGGGGGGGGCCTGGAGACCACGGATGCTGTCGCCATTGTCGCTCAGGGAATCGCCCCGGCCAGAGTCCCTGGACGAGTTCTTCCTCAGCCGTCGCTTGGCCTTGGCTTTCACCCTGACCTCATGGATGCTGGGCGCAGAAATCCAGTTGCCATTGACCTCATTGTCCACAGGCCTGGATCCCGCCTTCTCCTCATCCCCAGACAGGAAGGAGTCGCTCAAATTGTCTACCTCTATGGCGGAGGGGGTCAAAATGAAACGGAGCCCCACAATTTTACAAGAGCAGACAAAAATCCCCCAATATCCCCTAAAGAATGATATAATTCCTAGGCCAGCTTGTTAGCAATAAAGATGGAGAGGACCTTTATCAACTGATAATACTGGACTGACAAACAAGCAGTAAAATGACTTGACTGGCCTTGAATAAAGCTGAAATAACACCATGTTACAATTTTTTATAAAAGTTTTGCTTAGATTTTATTTCTAATGTCTATATAGAGTTGGACATTGTATCAATGATGCTCATTAAAAACTAAAAAAATAAAATAAATACATATATACAGACAACATATACACACTAGCTGCATTAATCCGTCATTACAGATTTGTAAAATGTACGTGATACATACACAATACCGAAGAAGCAACAACAATTTAACATAACAGTAACATGAACAAAACTGAGCTGACCAGAATTTTATTTTTGCTTAAATACTGAATTATTTATTGACAATAACAAAATACGTCATAATTAACTTTCAAGTTTTCAGATTAAACCTTTTATGGTTTTTGAAAAAATAATTTTACCGCGTGGGAGAGGGGGGGAAAGAAAAGGAATTGTCCTTTTCAATGAGGTACCATCGCATCCCGTTCCTCATGTCTACCCTAAGCCTCCCTTTCCTTAATGACTCCCATCATTAGGTGGACATGTGTTCCTGAATTTCACACCATGTGCAGTGGACCACCTCGCAGACATTAGTAAATTAAATAGAATAAAATGAAAAACCTGCGACTCACACGGCCGATCCGTTAACTTACCCACGGGGTTAGAGTTAAGCCATGCCTCGCATTCGGTTGCCATGGTTTTTATTCGGCTGAGAAAAGCGTGCAATGTAGAAAATTAAAAAAAATATATATATCCCGTGACCTATCAAACACAAAAGTAGGATTTCAGGAAATTGCCAAACTTCATCCAAATAAAACAGAGTCAACAACGGCAAAGCGAAAACTTCAATAACATGCCTGTACATGCCAAGCAAGGCCCCCACACCGCGCATCCCGCCCCCTCCGAACTCGCCTTTAACTACTTATTTGAATTTCTATTTTTAAATACGGCCAGACAGAAAGCTTGCTGCGTGCATTGTATCCTCTTCATACAAAAGTATTTTGAAGAAAAAAAAAAAGTATGTATATTTAAAGCTCAGAAAACGCATGTTAATAACGTGGACGTTAAATAGTATATGCAGAAACTTCGATCATTAGCATGTTAGCCATTTAACTAATCAAAAGCCAGTTTCATAGCTAAAGTTAGCCTGCAATCTGCGATCGATACTGCAGCCTAAAGCCATATTATTCATTAATAGCCTACGTAGATAAAACAATATTCTGCGCTATTTTTAATGTACTTAAACACATAAAACCCGTTCGCTTTAAAGATGCGCAATTAACTACCTTTGAATCAATCCCACACAGAAACTACCAACCTGACAACTTCTAGTGCAAACTGCGGAGTTAAAGGGTCGCTGTTGTTGTTTTTGTATTCTCTGCCCAGCAACACTGTCACATGGCACCATAGACGCCATTTCTTATTGGCCGAACGTCTGGAGGCGGATGAGCGGAGAAGCCAATGGGCAAGACCGTATAAGTTTCCATATATTGTCCTGGAGATATATTGCGATGTGAGAAATTCTGCCATCTATGTTGGAGGTTGTGCAACTGCAACATTACGTAATGGGAAACGCTACTGAGAAAAAGTCCGCAGTGTGAATGTTTGGGGTCGTTAAAGAGGCAATGTATTACAACAGAATTAGTTGTAGACTAGCCAAATGACTTTTGAACGGCACTCAAAAGTAGTTATAAATGCAGGTATGACTAGGTAATTTGGATACTCAAAATTTGAATTTTAACTGGAGGATTTAAAAAGACGGATAATATATCGGAATGCTGCCGGATATTCACGCAACAAATGATAACTGTACAGTCTACTATTTGGAAACAGCAGTCCCCTCTGAGATATAAGCTAATGTTTACATTCCTTTTCAGTGTGCGATGACATTCACTGAGTGTCAATGGATACGGCATCATTTCCTATAAGCCAATCAAAATGCAAAACCATGCAAGCTGACAGCGACTGTAGTCTTATTATGTTAAATTGACTTTATAAATATTTTCGTCATGACTCTTAATTAATTAAATAATATATTACATTCACATGATTGCATTCATTGTTATCAACTAAACCAGCATCTTTTCATTATGGAGTGAGGTATTATCAAAACTGGAAAACCGCATCAGACTTCATTGTACTACGTAAACATGACTATTAAAGAAAACCTTGAACATTGCCACCATTTAATCTTCAGAAGACCCAGCTGTTGTAATTCCCAAAATGGAGACATTAGAAAGCTCTAGTGACAAAGAAAAGATAATACAAGCAGAATATAATGGCAAATAAACAAATAAGCAAGATGATTTCAATGTGTGCCACAAGGGGATGTTAATAATTATAATCCTTTTTCCTGCGGCAGAGATGAAAATCGTCATTCTTTTTAGTGAATCCATTCATCTGAGTTTGTTCATTGATTGGTTCACTTCACAGATACCCTCGAATATTTTTTCGCTCTGAGGGCGCACATTTAATTTGTGATATTTGATGTAAATCCAATAATATTATGCACACCGACTCTTTCAGACAGCCGTACTTCAGTCCACCAGCAGGTGGCGAACGCGGATGGTGAACGGAAATGAATGACGAATCTCTCATTGAACAGGTGAGTGCAGTGGCCAAGATCATTGCGCTGATTGAAAAGATTGGACCTATTTTGTACTGCGGTTTGGGTCGTAGTCAGCTATGCTACTTTTCTTACTATTATATATATATATACTATATATATACTATATATACTTTATATATATTATAAATTTATATATATATACTATTCTATTTTTAACTATTCTTATTATATATATTGTATTTCTTATTTCTTAGATATATATATATCTATTTCTTATTTTGTATGTATGTCTCTCTTACTGCACTGAGCATGTGTATGACAAAAGAATTTCCCTCCGGATAAATAAAGTTCTTCTTATCTTATCTTATCTTATATTGTCGAGCTTTATAATTGAACTCTTACTAGTAAGAACTCCTATTGTAGATATCTGCAAATATATTTTTGAGTAGTGAGAATTCCAGGCCCACACATCCATAATTGAGTTTTTACTAGTAAAACACAGTGTAGTGGATAGTGCAGGCAGCTGAGAAGGTCATCAGGGTGCCTCTACTGTACCTCCTCTGAGGGACATTTACCACAACTGCTGCTCTCGCAGTGCCAGTGACATCACAGGAGACCAATTCTACCCACTACATGGACTTTTCGTTTGCCGTCTGGTTATTAGTATCGAAGCTTCATACTACAAGCCATCAGAATTCTTAATGCATATTCATGTTAAGATCTCTGCCTAGCCAAATGCCATTGTAATACACCACCTCACTGTATACTTCACAATAATTCCAACATGTCAATGGCACTTGCCCTTTGCCTACTATTACGACTATTACAACATGCACAGCTATGTTCTGTTAATGATAACTCAATCCTTACTCAAAGGCTGCCAAATCACTCCATGTGTAGTATGGTCACATTTCGTCTCATCTACAGTGTATAACATATGATGTGTTAGCACTCAACCAATGCTGTTTTCCTTGTGTGGAATAATTGATATCCAGCATGCAGCTCAGTGGTTCTCTAACACTTACATTATGCCAGTTATATTTAAATATGTATAAAGTACCTCACTACCCAATCGCCCCATATTGTCATATTGTTGCACTGTTTAGTGCAGCTTTTGTCCTTGTTGCAGACTGTATTTTGCTATATGTCGATGTATGTTGTACCTTTGCATCGTGGTACATGGAGAATTGTTGTCTCATCTCACTATGGACATGAACACAGCTGTTGATGACAATGAAGTAACCTTGAATCTTGAACGGGAATGTCCGTGAAGGAATAGGCTTTATTTTAAACCGTCAAAACAGCTGACAAGGGTTGAAATGAGAGCAACAGAAGTGAAAAACTTACCAGACAAATTAAACATCCGTATTTTGTTTAAGAAACAGTTTATTTTAGAAAGGGCATTTTCTATCATTATGTCAAAACTGACTTTTGAAAAAGTAAATTCAAAAGTTGTAAAGTATAGAATTTAATTTAAAAATAGCTTGTCATGGCTCATTGGTCTTGGGGCCTAATTGTCGCTTCGGATGCGAGAGCTCCCGAGTTTAAATCCTAGATGAGCTCTGAATTTCTACCACACTAAAGCAGATTTGTACAGTCGCTCATGCTAGAAACATCTTAAGATTCACCCATGGGCTTTCTGTACTCGTTGACTGTTGTATTGAAATGGTTCCACTGAGTGCTCTACAGCACTTTTCACTCAGATAGCTCCTACTAGATTCTCTAGATGTCATTTGATTTGCATTTTAAATAATAAATTCTTTGAATTATCTGCCTCACTTGTCTGTTGATTTTGACAAGTGTTTGCTAAAGAAATAAATTTAATGTAAGAGTGAAATGTTTTACCTTTGTGATTGTGTCATGACCTGCTCGTCCGATCCTCCTGTGTGCCACGCCTCCCTCGTTACCTCGTGTTAATTCCCGATTGTGATCACCTGTTGCCTGTTATTTTCGGCTTGTCCTGTGTATTTAGCCCGCGTCTGAGTCCGTTTCCCCCAGATCCGTCATTAATGTTAGTCTGTCGCTGTCCTGTGGATTCCCCAATAAACCCTCGTATCCCGCATCCCGCTGCCTGCCCCTTCCTTCCCCGCTTCCTGCCTGCCCGTCTACCTCGATCGTAACAGACTGTTTATGTTTTATATTCCTCTGCAGCATAGAAAAAGACAAGTTAAAGTATACTCTTCTTAAATATTTTATTCAACTTTTATTTAAGAATGTCTCAAAATATTCAACAATTAAATTACAACCCACATAATTATGGATGTAATGGTTTTCACAGTATATAAAACAGAAAGATGTTAGAATTCAGTGTTCATCACCTCTTTCCATCACAAATAATTTCACTTTTTTTAATTTTAAATTACAAACATGGTCCAGTTCAAGTATGTCTCCAGTCACAGCATTTTATCAAAGTTATGTTGTCAGCATGTCATAAATCTCTGACCTGGTAATGATTGCATTTCTTGTTTCATTATTCACAATATGGATACATCAAAAACATATTGTGTCACATCTTGGGTAAAACTAAAAAAATAATCTTATCTTCCCTTGTGTCTGATCTGTTGGTTAGTTTTTCTGTGCCGTTGTTGGTTAATACAGTGTGCTCAGTACCCATAATGCACCACTGCATTCTAAAAATTAACTGATTGTTAATTTTGTACACTTGCAACAAGGCAGAGCCACCTGCTGAAGTGAAGCTGAGGTGTAGAGCCTGATGTGGAACTGAGACTCAGACCTGCTTTATCTGTGATACACTGGCCATTCGCACACATATAGACAAGGAATACTAGCAGTGAATAAATGACCCCTTGGTACCTGTGTAACAACAGGAAAGTGAAACAGTCAGACCTGTTTTGAATGTCACACCGACACCTGCTTGTTTCCCACTGGGTTGCTTCGGGTCTATTCCCCTGATATTTGGCATTTACGTCACTGCCAAGAGGCAAAGGGTTTGCACCCTGCAGCACGGAGTAGGCTATTCCTGGAGAGACTGAATTCGCTCCATCTAGGATCTACGGCTAACCCATTTAATGGAGCAAACAACAGCGTCACTGTAGACTACAGAGCATTCTAAACATTCTGTACATGAGCACCTTGTCTGAGCCAAATCTTTGCTTCATATTTATGGCCCTATGAAATGATATTCCGATGTAACAAATTTATAAATAATAATTACAATTAAAATACATTCTGCAAATTATAAAATAAGCTCAACAGTAGTATTTTTGCACCACTGGTCTGATCAAACATCTTCAAAACAACTAGAAAAATAAAACTGACAGAAAACTGGCTGCACTTTGCTGTGCAAACTCTGAAATTCTGAAAAAGCAGAAGTTTAATTTAATTTCAGTCTCATTTCTGTGCAGCCTGACGCCCACACAGTGAATCCTCCCGTGAAAGGAGGCTGATGACCACAGAAGACACATCTCATAAAATCCGTCACACACTACGTACAAAGCAAAAAAATAACAGTGCATTTACATGTACTGCCACGAGGCCCCAGCAAGCCCACTGCTCTGCAGAGCAGCGAAAAGACCCTGAAATCTGCAGGATTTCTCCAGCTAAAGGTCGGCGGTTCCTTTAGGCACTTGGTACGAGTCACTTCATATAGGGACCACCTATAAATTCTTTCGCAGGTTCAAGATATGTTGATTTGGACAAGAAGTGTATTGGATTTTGGGCTAACAGAATAAAGTTAATCTGCAGTACCATTCACAAGTCCAAAATGTACAGTATGTTCAGTTTTGGGCAGATCACCCACCATAGGTGAATGGGTCACTCTCGTGTTCGGGCCAAGTCTTTTTCCGACCGAGACCAAGTGCAGAACTGTGATGTTTGAACAGAGCCTTGGTGCCTTGGGCGTGTCCCGCTGGAATCCAGACACAGCTTAGCATGTACTGTGACTGGTTTCACTGGCAGAGCCTTGCCCCCCCCCCCACGACATGTCTGCTGGGTTTAGGGCGGACTCGCGTTCGTGCTCGGTAAGCTCTCCTCGGCTAGCTGAGACAGATATTTCTGTAAAGAAAAAAAAAGCAGAGATCATCAGACAGTGTGTAGCATGGTTTATGAATGATGAATAAGCTGTGAATAGAAATCGAGGCGTGCTTCTTCTGTCAAGTGCAGAATCCAAAATGGGGAATTTAAACCGCCATGATTTGTTAAAAGCAAAGAACGAACCAAAGTCCCCTTTATCATGCTGCCTTAAGCAGACCGTTTCCCAGCAATCCCTATGTGCGTGAAACAATCCATGGATGCTCTCATTCTGGGATTATGGGGCTCTGACCCTGAACAAGGGGCTGTATGAAGGAACATGGTGCTCTGTAACCAGGCCCGGCCCGGTCTGATGGACAGCACATCTGTTTTTGAGCATTTTGCCTGGGAATGCCACCCATGAGATGCTGGGCAGACCTCGCCCCCAGGGTTTCAGCTGTGCCAGGGCTGAGCCGGGTGAGCGGGGGTGCGGGCGGCCTGGGTGGCGGGGGCGTAACTCTGTCTGGATAGTAGAGGGCAACTTAATACTGCTCAATGCATAAAATACTCATGCCTGTCACATGGTCAGGAGGATAGGGGGGTCAGCAGAGGCTGCTGAACTGCAATCCAGTCCCCCCCCCCAAGGGAGCAGGGTAGACAATGCCGGAGAAGGGAAACATAGGTGGAGAGTGGAAGAAGGTACAAATCCAGACCAAGATTTTGCTTCAACCCACTTGCTGAGTGTAAAAAGTCACATTCACTAAGTGTTCAACTGGTTGGCTGAAACAAAGTCTTGGTCTGGATTTGTACTTTCTGGACCTGAACTTTCCATCTCTGAAGGGAAACATTCTGCAAGCTCAAAGTAGCAGCCCACAGCCTCTCAGTGGTCAAAAGCTGGACCAGGTTCTTCCAGGAACATCATACTCTTTGTCCTTTGGACCCCATGGCAGAATCAGATATTATTCTGACTCTTGTCCAGCAGGTAATAGCTGGCAGCCAAGTTTAGCTAACAGGTTAGTGAGTGACCTCTCCATCTTGTGCTTTGTTTTAACATAGAGTAACAAGTGTTGACATAACTGGGATGATTTTTCTTTCCTGCTGGCATAACAATGGTGATAAGCTTTTATGTCGTAACTAATAAATGTTCCACATTTCTTTAACTCCAGCCCATCCCGTCAAGCCGTAAGCTATTTCACTACTTTGAACTGGTTCCAGACAATGTCTATAAAAACAAACGACAGCAGAGGTGCAAAGTACAACCCCGCTACCGATCGGTTTGGCCAGAATGTTCTAAAACCTTATCAAGACCCAATTCTGCAACAAAGGGGTCGTGTCATGTTTAAATAAAGCACAAAAGCCTTTTGTGAAGTGACGCATGTCACAGTTTGAAATTGCCAGTAGCTATGCAATGCCCTCTTCTGCAATCTGAGATCTTTAACAATGCAAAATTAGCATGTGGACAGAGAGAGGAGGTGGACTGGCCATTCTGTGTGCTAAAGTATGAAGCTCACTAACTCAACAAGCATCCTCGCTCTAAAGTAACACCAGTATGCCTTTAAAGGAATGCTGCTTCAGTGAGAGCCCCGCAGAAACCCCCAGGAAAGTGAAAGTGCGGTGGCCCGGATGGACAGCCCCCCGGCCCCCACCTGCAGGTTCCTGTAGTGCACGGTGCTCCTGCAGTGGGATGTCCTGGCGGTCTCCTCGCTCGTATAGAACAGGTCGCAGAGCTTGCAGTAAAAGCCACTGCGGGGCACGATGAATTCCACCCCTGAGAACACGATCAAGCTTATCAACCGACATTCACAAAATGCACTCAAAACGAGCATTTTAAAAACTGTCATTTTAAAAAATTGCAAAATGAAACTCCCCAGAAGACAAGGTTGATGGTCTAGGGGTATGATTTGTGCTCCTGGGTTCAAACCCCAGATGACCCCAACATTTCTCCTCCATTATATCTGGTCTGTACAGTTACACCAGAACTTACTTCACTGGAACCATCTATCTCTTCTGGAGACACCTGAACTGACTACATCCTACCAGGTTTTCTCTGATATTGTTGACTATGCCCATGAAATTGTTTTACTTGGATGGTATACATCATTTGAGGTAGTGTGTGACTCTGCAAGTGAAAGCAATATAATTTCATCTTTAAAGTTAATGTCATGACCAGACACCGGTCAGTTGTAAATGTATGTCTGACACCCAAGTGAAAACAGGTGACTTTAAAATGCACAACCTTCTCGGTGACACCAAAGGCTCTGAAACCATGCAGCGAAAATAGGCAGGCAATTCCCAGGGGACGGCCAGCTGTGCCGCTGTCCCCGCTACGGTCCTCTAAATCAGCCCTTACGTAATATGCTGACTTTCCAGCACTGCTGATCCCACCACAGACGGGCTGAGCAGGCGCTAAATTGCGGTTTGCTCACCCAATGGGATGCTGCGCTCGCCCAAAACCTTGTCGTGCTCCCACGTGGCCAACGGCACCGGTTTGACTCCATCATCTGTTGGGCTTTGGGACGGATTCTGCAACTCTGAAATTTAATTATTTTGAAAGGTTGCATCTATTTCAAGCACAGTAAATGTAACTTAGGATGTAAAATGTGGGAAAGCAGTTTGTTATAATGGTGTTGTTTTCTCTGAGAATACCTTCCTTGGGCTTCTCTCCTGATGGGTCCTCCTTGCGTGGAGCCTCATTGTCTGCCTCCAGGGTAACAGGCGCCGGTGTCTCCGCCCTGCTGCTGAGTGTGTGTGTAGACTGGGTGGCCTCACTCCCGCCCTGGGGACCTGCAGGGCACTCCTGCAGGGGCTGGGCCTCAGGTACGTCCGGGTCCGTGCAGCTGCATGTCTCTTGGGAGGCTACCTGTAGCTCCTGGCTGGGTTCTGGGTCAGACTGCCCCGTGGTCCCTGAGTCGGGGGGAGAATCTTTGGTGCCCGTGCTGGCATCAGACGGCGGCGTCCCTGTCATCTCCTGTGATGGCGCAGTCCCATCCTGAGTAATTTCGTTTGGGACCCCCCCTTTCTCGGGACTCTCAGAAGAAGTGCAGTGGGATGTTTCCGGGTCGGCCTCGACCTTGGCCTCCTCCTGAAGGTCCGGGAGGTCGGGTTCCACCATGCCATCGTCTTCTTCTTCACCCACCTCGTCAACGGTTACCAGCTCCTCCATGTTCCTCGGGTACCAGGACTCCTCTTCCTCCTTCTCCTCATCTCCACTCTCCCACTGCTCCACCTGGGGCACACATAGTGAGTCACATACTGACACTTTCCAGTTCAGGCCAGGAAGCCGTATCTCTCAGCAAGTAACTGAAGCTGGTGTCTCAATAAAATATCCTGGCATGTAAATCTGCTACATCAGCTTATAACTAAAAGAAAGCAAGAGAATAACAAATGCAAGCATGCCTAATCGTTTGGTGGCCAAAGGTTGTGAATTAACAATGATGTTATAATTCACGACAGCTATTAACAGAGAGGAGACAAATTTCACGTACATTCTAGGTATGACTATACAATGGTCACTGATTGATAATGTCAGGCGTCCGATATTCCTGACCTTGTGCAAATGGCATTGTTGACTGAACGAAAGACCAAATAGAGCAGGGGTGTCAAACTCCAGTCCTGGGGGGGCTGGAGCCCTGCACAGTTTTCAGTTTCACCTGATTCAACTCCTTGTGCTAATTACAGCACAGCTCTTGAGCTGAGTCATTTGTGGTGAAACAGGGAAAGAACTAAGCTACACAGGGCTCCGGCCCCCCAGGACTGGAGTTTGACACCCCTGATATAGAGCCTGCTTACAGGTCCGCCCCCCCCCCTGCTGGTTAGAAAACCACAGGCGGTAAATACAAAGTTCTCAATACCAGAACACACTGATGTAGGGTTAGTGTTTAAGGACAGCACGCTGTCATCTCAATGGGCAGTTTACGCAAACAAGCGCAGGGGGGGCTGTGTGCAGTGGAGCACCTGGCTCTCTTTGTCCCGTTCACTTGTGGGGTGGGGCGGCGTTGTGGCTGCATCCTTTTGCTGAGTCTCCGTCACTTCCTGAAAGGAGTCCGTCATTAATGTTATATCAGGTGATTGTTTAGAAAGCCAAGCCTCTTTGTACTGACCACACCTGTCATTTCATATGAACATCAGCCGCTCTGTACCACTCAGCACATAACACCATAGTAAGACATACATGTTCGTTTATATTATGCATATATTTTTGTTTCCATTTTGTATTTTCTATTATTGTTTGTATTACGCATAAATCTGATGACACTGCATTATACATAAGTATTCTGCATATGATACATTGTAATAACGTCCAAGCGCGTACTTGGCTTTCTGCCTCCTTGTCGTCGCCTCTCACTTCCTGCCTGCGATGAACCTTCTTGCTCTTCCCCTTTGCGGGTGATGCTGGTTTCCTGTCCTCCAGTATCCGTGGGGCCGGTGGATCCTCCAGCAGCTCCACCTCCACGTGTCGTGACCTGTAATGCTCCGAGGAGTCTTTTCTTTTTGACTTGGCTTCGTGACGTTGGTAGGGTACCCGCTGGAGCTTCTCTGGCTTATATGCAAACTCCTTCTTGTAAAAGTCCTCCTCCTTGCTTCTGTATGATGAGAAGGGCAAGCTCTGAGGGCTACCCCTGGGGTAGCGATCCCGGCCCCCCCTCAGGCAGTCAGCCCACTCCTCTGCCGACCTGGGGCTCATCCTGTCTGTCAGCTTGAGGTAGGGCTTCCTCCTGTCGCACATCCTGCCGTTGGGCCTGTCGTCGTCACCATTCCTCCAGCACGCCTCCTCGCGCTCGTCCTCCCGCATCGCTTGCGAAGACCAGTCCCAGGAGCCCCGCCGGGGGCCCAGGCCGCTGTTCCAGTCCCCGCGGCAGGCCGCACCTGGCGGGCTGTGTGTTGAGCTGCATGAGGTAAAGCTGGGGCTGTGGGAACGTGGGCTCAGGGAGCGGCTGACGGGGCTGCGTGACCTGGCGCGCTCCACTGGGTAACTGGGGGGGACATCCGAGCAGCGCATTAGAGCCGGGCGTGATGCGGACAACGCTCTGCATTTCACAATTGTGATGCTAGTTGTCAACACATTTAAGCAAAGATACATCCTGTTGATGGAGTGAAAGCCCTGCACTGCAGGACACTGATCCTGAGGTATCGATCACTGCCAGGCAGTTGTTACTGCTTCATCATGTTATTAACAGCGGCCTGCATACATATGGAATGTAAACCACAGCACAAAATTAAATCATTCATTCTGGCACGTGACAGATTCTTCATAGACTGCCACTGGGCCTCTCACTAATGGTATTAAAACAAAGTTGAACAATCTGCAAACAGGCCTACACATACACATTGCAAATAAACTATAGCACCTGAACCGAAAATTTAAAAAAAATGTTTTAAAAGGCAGTGAAGCTTAAAAAGGAAAAACTGGTCTTGGTAAAGTTTAATTAATTTCATTAGCGATTCTATTAGTTACAGTGTGTGGGTAAAAACATGTAACTGCAATGTTTCTAAGATTTAAGATTGAACCTCTGTAAAACCAAATGACCAAAATAACAATGTAAATGAAAAAAAAAAAAAAAAAAAAAAAGGCAGTGAAGAAGAATGATTAAATCACATTTTTTTGGTATGAAATGCTACAGTAATTGTTATTCTTACCGGTCAATCTGCTCCATCTCATCTCTTTCCCTCTGAGAATTAATATCCTGGATAATGGATTCCACGTCCTTGCCTGGTTTCTGGAAAGCAAATCATTAAACCTGCGGAGAATCTGAATCCTCCATGAAATGAAAGCCGCAGCTGAATGCCACGGCGTCCCACACTAAGCTTACCTTCAGCTGAAGCTCCTTGTATCGCTTCGACATTCGGATGAGAAGCTTCTGCTCATTGATCATTGCTGGTTGCAGCTGGTAGAACTTCACCATTGCCTGTGCAGCCTCGATGTAAGCCATTTCCAAAAAGGCCTGAGGTGAAAGACAATATGCAGATCAGGTTTGGTACTCAAGTGTTCTGATATGAGGATACAGCATTCCGAAAACTTTCCCAAATGAATAAAATCTCAAATAATACCTCAAAGAATTGTAACAAATGATGTGCTAGAACATAATCAGTCCAAATGCATAACTAATGCTATGTGACACAAACAAATGTTAATATTAAAAAGGCAAGTAGTCTAAACCCGGAAATGGATAGTTCAGGTCCAGAAAGTGAAAATCCAGACCAAGATTTTGTTTCAACCAACCAGTTGAGTATAAAGAGTCGCAGTCAGAGTACTCAACTGATTGGTTGGAAAAAAAAAAATCTTGGTCTGGGATTTTGCTTTCTGGACCTGAACTATCTAACTCTAAAACTAGTCCGTGATGCCAGGAGACAAGTGAAAACCACCTGGTGAGTAGATCGCATGAGGATGTAATTGGTAACTTTGCCAAATGGAAGACCCAGGTTGATGACATCATTTTCTGTGCAGCTGCCCTCTGGCAAGTTACAGATATGAACCACTCGACCCGGGGTGGTCTTCCTAAGGGGGAACTAAGGGAGAAACACAGATGCAAAGCAGTGTTACAGCCACAATGTAGCAACATCGATTTACCACAAAACACCCTTCTTTGTGCTACAAGAAAGAAATCCTACTTTCTGAACAGGTAGATAAAATCAAAACATGTATGCATGCAGGAAAACCACTTCTGCACATCATAAAAGCTTTTTCACTGTATCTATTTCACACCATCTGCACATGACTGTTCCCGAGCAGAGAACTGGTATGATTCCAGCATGACACAAGATATCAAGGAAGACGTTGACGTGCAAAGCCGTATTCGGCTACCCGGCTAATTCTACTGGAGGTGGCAGCGTCTATTCGTCAGACTGTGGAAACTGGTTAAGACGGCGTTCTCTTTGAGAATAGAACACCACGTTCTCATGCTTGTTGTCTCCAGTGACACTTGGGCCTGAGCATGATGTAATCCTACAAGGTTAAAACAACCTAAGTGTGGTTGGGCAGACACTTGTGGTGGGAATTCGATAGCACAGTATATTAGGATAGAATGAAGTAAAGGTATTTTAGCAGTAACCCCAGACAAGCGACATTTCACATGCAAAATCACTCATGGTGATCATTTGTCTGCTCCACATTACACACAACCTGTCACTTAAAGTATGACTGATGTTTCCACAGAACTGCTTGCACCTCGCTGCCATCCAAGCGGGCTGACAGACTGTGACATCTGCAGAACAGTCCCAGACCACATGGTTAAGGGTCAGCTCCTATTGGTATTTCTGAGGAGAAAACACAGCTCTACTTGACAGATTTAAGGCACCTGTGGGGAAAGTCACTGTCATGCCAGCATAGTTTGCGTGTCATCGAATTTAAGCCCATTAAATAAAGCACGAGGTTTGGGCCCCTGGGCCAAAAGTGACATTTTGTGTTTACGAAATGCCCTAAAATATGTTTAACAAACTCCTGGGGAAACACACTGTCTGAGAGGTGTCCAGTGGCTCTCCCATAAAGCATCTAAAGGCTGTCCTTCATACTTCGTACACGGGATGCAGTTAATCAGCCCACACTTACATGTTATTACTGTGTGAAATGGTTCACCCCCACGCTAATCCTCCAAAGCCTAATTGCTTGGCTGCAATACCTCATTTAATGGCCTTTGGCCTGCGAGCTAGCCTTATCGCTTTCAGATATGAAAGTGATAATTCTATTGCCACCCCATACCAGTGCAACCCGCTAATAGAAGATCCAGGAAAGGTCATTCTTGGCCCAGCTCGACAAACACAGAAATAGATTCGCAGCAGGATGTTCGTGACTCTGAAACTTAAGAAGCGCAGGCATCTTTCGGGACGACGTCTTTGTCCAGTTAAACCTCTCCTCATTTAATGGCTTCCTTTGAACCTTATAGAGGAAGAATCACATTGCGGCGATGGGCACTGTTGACACAACCGAGGACGTGACCTTGGCACCAACTGGACCACAGACTGAAACCAAGGGAAATCACAGAGGAAGTTGAGCAGGGTGTTCTCAGAGGAATACAGATGCAGCACTGACTCATTATAGTCCGCAGGGCAGCGCACTGTTTCTGTTAGTCCACTGCACATTGCAGTGTTATTACACTGAGACAATACTCAGTATTCAGATAACTGTATACTGCATGTGGGCAGAAGGGTGCTGGGGGTTATAAAATTTCTTGGTCATCCAACTAAAGCACATGCTGTAGGTACTGCAAAAATGTGACTTATTTTTAATTATTTATTATTTTGTATTTTTATTAAGATATTATTAGAAAATATTAGAGAAACAGAATGTCTATATAATTCAATTTCTCATCATTATTACGGTTGCCTTGTGAACAATATGGAATATTTCACCAGTTTTATCATGGATCTATCTGAACATAATCTGGAAATGTGCAGCTCCAAATAATATGAATCCACAAAATACTCTAGGCTATTGACAGATGACACTGCATATTAGAATACAACCAGAATAATGATGTTTTTCATCACTAAATTAGGCGTCATATTTCTTTTCCCAAACATTGAGACACTTCTGTTGTCTAAAGGGAGTGTGATCTAAGCAAATCAGCATGTGCAAACATAAACAAAAATACACAAGGATATTTCGGGATGGATCCATTTTTAATCTGCTCTCTCTGTGTGATCATATAGGGATTCATCTTGTTTCTGTAAGGTCTGTGCTTTACATAAAACAACAGTGCACCCACTGCACTCTGTGTGTGTTATTTCACTCAGGTAAACATATATATTCATGATGGCCAAAGGTAAGCCAAAATTACAGCCGATGAAACCAGACAGAACTGAAAACTGCTTTGACGAAAAAGTTTTAAAACAAATTCAGTCTAAATGCCAGCAGGAACATCCTGACCGCAAACCATGGTTGCTTAGATAAGAAGCACCTGCTAATTGAGCAGATCACATCACGTGACTAGCGAAGCCGTGGAAGCTAACAGATCCTATCCAAAAACATTCCAGTTTGTTTACTCAGTGCTGACTACAGGTCTTAGAGCTCATCAGACACGAGTGGAATGGATTTCTACAGATTGCATTACTGCTCTAGATCAGAAACATAACTCCTGCACTTTCAGCCCCCCCCTGCCTTTTCAAGTGCAACATGGAGTCTCACCATTGGTCTACTGCAATTCAGGCTAATTTAATCACTTTATACTAAAATTTTAAGCTCAGGACAAATAACATAATAGATTTTGCAATTAGTTAATTTAGCTCTTCCACAAAAGTAATTTGTACAATTTGGCCAGAATCTTTACATGAAAACTAATACAAAAAAACACCACACTAGAAAAGTATACAGGAACTAAGGGCACAGACTTGTGTAAGTATACCATGATGTCATAAAGGGGCAGTAAAATGAACACCTGTTGTTCAGGCAGGTGGGCTTTTAAAGGAGCTAACATTAGCACACACATACACATTTGAGTCCCTCTGATGAGAGAGCCATAAATAAGGATTATAAAGAATTCTATAGGTTTAATATGAGATCCGCTTTCTCTTGATGTCCAGTACTCATCCACGACACCCAGACATCATCGTTCATAAATAAGACACATTGCCTGCCAAAACAGAATTATGATCTTGAGAGGAAAAAATGTAATGTACGTTCTTCCCGGTCAACTGACTTGGCGTCCCTTTTTAAAAATGTTCCAGATGATTTCTGTCAGTTTATAGGCAGACTGTCATTTCAAAATGACAGAACTACCCACTAAATCACTTGTGTTTTCAGAGGGGAGCAGATGAAGCTGCTTGAGAAAGTGACAACCACAGTAAAACCAAGATTTGAATTCATGTGAAATCTAAGTTAGTTGCTCTTGCTGTGCACCGATAAACAGAATTGTTGGCCCTGAAAGCCCTTGTGACACATGGTATGGGGTCTTGCATTTCAGAAATTGCAGTGACAGTGTGTTTGTCTCTGGGGACACTGTCAACACGTCCAAGCTATATTTCTGTCACTGTTAGGACTTGTCGCTTGCTGCGATCCCTGGCCAAGTGCCCTTCTCCCCTTTGGTCACGCTGCGGGGTCCCAGGTTGGCAGTTGGAGTATGGATTTTGTTGCCCAGAGTCTCCAGTGTCTCAGCCTGATCCCTGCACTTGGGGATGAATGAGCAGAGGTGTCCTGGACTCAGCGTTGTGCGTTTGTCCTTCTCATGTGCATGGCACCGTAATCTTGATCTGCTGTCTAAGCATGCAAGCAGAAGTGGAACAGCACCACCCCCCACCCCCCAGCCAGACACTTCTGTCTGGGCATCAAGAACTTGGGACAACGGAGGCATGGCAAGTGGAGGTCAGAATCCACAGGAGGGTGTGAGAGAGGCGTCGGCGGCATCTGACCCTGCCATTAGCACTCCTGCTGCATGTGCCGTGTGACCATCTGCTGCCTTTCGTCACTGCTAGTGTGACCAGGCAGCGGCTCCCCGATGCTCCCCTGAGGTTACTCACTTCCTGCAACACCTTATAAACAGAGCCCCCTTACGCTGGGACATCGACACCTCAGTGCTGGATGACTCTATCCTCCATGTTCAGCAGCAATGTTAAGTATTCAGCCTATCACATCAGACAGAAAATGCTTTTGCACCTAAGAAATTTAGTAACTTTTAAAATCAAGATTAAACATGAAGCTGCTATTGCAGAGTGATGTGTATGTATCAAGTGATCTCACTTGATACATGCAACAGCCTGTGTACATTCAGGAACCCCAATCTTCCATTACAGCCCAACACAAAATACACATTTTACATATTAGGAAGTACCTACATTTACATGCAGACTTCTAACAATTATTAAAGATTATATGTATAGTATGTTATTATTTCCAGCCTGCCCTTAAAACCAAAACAAGCATGAGCCACAGACACACAGCTAAACCAGCACCCAATGCCGCACTTATCTATAACCACAAAACCTAAATGTAATCAAAATTAAGTACATAGGACTTTCAAATATGCTGGTTTAATGAAAATAAACATTCTTTCTTCAATCATTTAAAAATCAGTTAGGTATATCCATCCATCCTCAACATTATGGGCCAAATGTAGGGGGGTGCTGGGTTAAAGGCATTTCTGGGGTCCTACCTACCACATAAAATGTTGCAGTAACAACCAAAAACAAAATGTGGGCTTCCTAAAACTCAGGGCCCTGGGCTACAGCCGAGGAGACCCCGTGCATAAAACCAGCCTTGTACACATCCATCCATCCTTCTTCTAACTGCACATCTTGGACAGAGCTATGGGGGGGAGGTGGCTGGAGGTGTGGGTGAGGTTACTTTTATCCATGTAAATATCTGCAGTCTCAGTCCTTCCAACCAAACAGGTTAGTGGCACTTAACAAAACCTGGTTCTTCTTAAAAACAAACTATGTTTCATTCAAAGTTGTTTTTTTCTTTATATGGATACTGATTATTAACTAAGCTTATTTTCTGGCCAGAGGGTACACATTGCAAAGTATTTTCTAGAACAATGCTTCAAAAAGTTAATTCATGTTCACATTCATTAAAAGTAAAAAAAATATTTTTGAGATTTTAAAAAGGAAAATTCAAAGAACAGAACTCTAAGCATGGCAGAGAATGTCGATTCAAAATCATTTTCAAATGCATATTTCAAATTAAAAAGTAATCTTATTTATTTAATGAGTGTAACATGTTGCAATACCCTATGACATACGAAAGTATGTGGCTGTAAGTAGTAATTTGTGCTAGGAAGATAACCTGCTTCCTAGTGTGATATTAGGGAGGATATTCCAAGTACAGCTGTTTGGTTCGGTAATAATACAAGAGGTACAGAATTTTTGTGAATAATGTAACAAAAAGTTCAAATTAACAGTTAAAAAACAACCCAACAACTACGCTTTTAAAATGAATGAATTAGTGCTTTGTTTGTTTATGGTGGCTTAGGAACCCTCACAATGCACTGACATGACAGGAATTTCCCCTGGGATCAATAAAGTGCATCCTAATATTAAAATAAACAAATTCCTCTGCACAATGAAAACAAATGTGAGCAGCACACCAGCCATCGCCAGTCCAAATTGCAGATCATATTAACCAACACTGACTAGTTTTTTGTTAAACATAGTAACACTTTATCAACCTGATCTGTTTTTTTTTTTTTTTGCACAACTTTGACTGGATTGGGGCTGACCTTTGACCCCGTCTGAGGCAATGAGTATCCCACTCCTGGCAAGAGATGTGTTTTCACAGGTGCTGCAGAAAAGTAGGGTCCAGAAGATGCATCTAACCACAAAAATAAAACAAAGCAGAACAACCAATAAGACACAACAAAACAAAAGCCAAATAAGACACAAAACAAGAATATTCTTAGAACTGCCTAAATGTCAGCATATCAATCAGCTTAACTGTAGCCAAATGTTTGGTTATGTTGGCTATTAGCAAACACAAAGGACAGATGAACGTTACAATACGTGGTACATATGGTATTTCTAGTGTCGGTCAGATGCTGGTCAAATGAAACTGATCTGTATGGAATGTTTGCAAAGACACATCATAAAATTCACACGCTCAGGCCATTCATTTGACACTGGCACGACAGCATAATTATGCTACTCAGGAATAATTTAGATAGTAGCATGTATTTCAATTACTAACTCACCTAACCTAAAAGTACAGCACATGGCAGTCCTTCTTGTAAAGTGTCACTCTTTTAGGTATCTCTGGAAAATAAACTGGAAAGAAAATGTTGTAATTTACCTTGACTGGCAGCTGCAGAATAAGCCATGGAGTTGTTAGCTAGGGAGCTCACACATCCTTCAGTAGATGCAGGAAAATGAATAGATCCGACGGCCGGGCTGAAATAACGAAGTATCGCTGTGAACTTCCAAGTCAAAGCACTCCCAGGGCACATCTGATAACTGAGCTCATGTTCAGGTGGTCGACTCATGATAGAGAGGAACTAAAATCATAAAATATCATCTTAATCGGCGGATTTGATTTTGCACAGAAAATACCTATGTACCACCAACCTCTTTAAAGGCAACTGGGTGAATAAAACACTTCTGACCAGGAAAAAAACAAACCATACTACACTAAATTAAAGGCGAAGTCAGTGAGTATTTTTCTTGAGGTGTATTATTACAGACTGCCCCCTTTGCAGGACACAGAACCCGCTGCTGCTCACAGCTGCTAATTCTTACGGCAGATTTTAGCCCCAGCTCCCGAGCATTAATCAGTTTCCCCTTACGCGACTCACCCTTCTGAGTAGAGAGCACGGTTCTGTAGATGGAGTTTCCCTTTCACATGCTGGTCCCAGTCCTGCATGGACACAGACACTGTAGTAATTCCCAGCATGGTGTCTGCCCCACTCAGTCACAAAGAGATCACCACCCCCGCCCCCCTTCAATGTGGGGGCAATTTAAAGACACAACAGCTCGAGGCACATTCATCTTGTGAAAGAACAACTCCCAGCTGAAAGCAAGATATGACCAGCATTTACACATACTCTATTATGATGGAATGCCTGGGAACACAGTACCATATTGTATTGCTACTTATATCCAAAAGAACATTATTCAAAGTTATAAAGGAAACAGTAGGTTTACTTAACTAAAAAAAAATCAAAACTGCTATCACATAACAATAAAAGTATAACGTTATTACAGTCATATGATTATCCTTCCAAGCCAGTCATAGTTCTTAAATTACCAGTCAGTGTGTTAATGGGAGGCAGATTTTTGACACTCTGGCTGACAGGCTCCACCCACCTTGAGATTATAGACCTTCTTATCACAGATAGTGCAGTGGTGCGGCAGGAGTGATGGAGTGACAGCATGGAAGTCATTGAGTTGATGGGGCAGCAGAGGCATCGGCGCTGCCTGGGGAGCTTCTTCACCTGGTTGGTATCCCACAAACCCCTGGGGGCCGGCACTAAAGACTGGCCCACCAACAGGGTTGAACTTGGCATCCGTGGTGGGCTCCTCTGGGTTGTACAGTTCGCCCCTGGTGTGGAACTTCTGGCTGGTGTTTGCCCACGCACCACCAGCATTCGGAGCCATCTCCAGGTTTCCTGCATGAGGGAAACTGCTGGAAATTTGCCAGTGATCCTTGTGATTGCTTGAAGGGAACGAATCCAGATTCTGCTCTCCGGTGAACCCAGAAGGGGGGCCCCGGTCATCTGATGCAGTAAAATCCCTCTGAAAACTACCACCGCTGGTGGCCTTGGCCTGTGTGCTGAGAGGTGCATACTGGCTGTCATGGGTTTTGTTCTGGGCGCCAGACATCCCACCAAGGAAGCCAAACTGGCCACATCTGTCGCTGTTCGAGAGGAATGGCGCACCAGGTGGAAGGTTCGATTTTTTCCCGTACTCTGACGCATGTTGGCTGAGAGGCTGCGGTGACCCACCTCCCATGTGGCCGAGCCTGACGTTGGTGTTTTGACCTTGGAGGCCCCCACCTCTCACGAAGCTTCCGCCAACCACCTGGGGAGGGAAGGGCAAAGTGCTGGGGCCAAAGGCCGGGCCCAGCTGGGCACCACCAGCGTGACCGTGGGGGGTGCTGATCATAACAGGGGTCCTCAGCTGGTTGAACAGGGGCTGAGACATCGCCACATTGGAGAGAACCTGGTTGAGGACAGTGGCTGCTGCTGCGGTGTTGCTGTTCACGGCTGTCTGGGCCAACTTCAGCCGATGGAGAGTGAGCTGAGCTTGAAGCTGAGCGAGTTGGAGGCTGGCTGGAGTCAGCAGCAATGGATTTTGCACACACCCACTTGGTGTGGCTGCAGCTGAGAGTAACTTCTTATCTGGGGAATCTGAACTGGTGCTGGAAAAAAAAAAAATCTATGAATCAACAACAGATCTGGTGAATATACAGTACGCTAACATGTGCTTGAGTTTGCAATGGACAAGCAGATGACATGATTCTAGTGTCAAATATCCGACAGCCAAGCAGACACCCATTTGTGACCTTGTTTAACTGGGTTGTCCTTTTGGATCCTGATGGATGTCCTCACATGGTGGCTATATTTAGCCCTTTCGTTTATTAATCAAACTGTCTTTGAGTCTTGGATATTACTCAAACCCACCACCACCTTACCAATTTGCAATGAGAGGTGAGGTGCTGTGAAACCAATTAGAGCTGGCAGAAGCACAAGAGCAAGCTTTCTAAATGAAAGGCATACCAAAGGACAGGAAGGGATCCTTAATTCATACAATCTGAAATTTTGCATGCAGCCATCCCTCCATCCTTTTTGGATGTGTCAACTTATCTAATGCAAGGTCTGTATGTTCCTGGGGCTCATCCCATGAAGGAAAGGGAACAAGGCAGGGAATACCCTGTACATGGTACCAGTTTAAGATTTAAACTCATGTAGGCCACACTGATGTACTAAGCAGACCGACAACTAAAATCAAACCATGTGTACTGGCATCATTATTATTAACATCAAATGTTTATTTTATGACTCAGCATATTTTTCAAACATAAATTTGCTGCAACAAAATTTTGGTAGACTTAGCACCTCTTACTGTTTCTTTCACTGGCTTTGAAAATCATAACAGGGGCTTGAAGAAACATTGACAGACCATAAAGTCATAACAGCCAGCTGTAAATATACATCCACTTTAACAACCAGCATGGTGTGATATTTCAACATCTTAATAATTCGATAATTAGTACTGTTAAAGAAGGCAAGATACTACATATGGCATGTATCCATTCATTTGATGACAGAAGAACCTTAATCTGGTCAATTTTACAGGGAAAACAAGACAAATAAAACTAATACTGCATCTTTGCATATAAAAGGAGCAGGGGGAGGGATAGGGTTACGGAATTGAACCCAAAGTGTGCAGAGCCAACCAGTCTTATGTTCAGTGTTGTTTCAACTTCAAACAGAAATGTATATTTCTGTAAGAAACAAATTTTTGTCTATGGTAGTTTTTCAGGGATGAGAATCAAAGTCTACTTTTCCAATAAACTTCCTGATATTATACGGTTACAGGAAAGACACATAATTCATGCCAAATTTTGTACTGATGGATTTTACTGCGACATATCAAGTTGAACAAGTAAAGCAGTCGTTAACCCACAATAGAATCCTGTTTTGCACATATGACTGCTGAATCCTTTAACAAAGCCATTTACCTAAATGGCAACAGCTGTACAAACAGGGAGCAGAATGCCTAAGATGTAAACTGTTAGGCCTGAAGCTGCCACTAGGAGAGGGTCCTCAGACTGTTATAAGATTATGATTAATTAATTTTAAAATGGCAATAGTTATATGAGCATCACTAATATAGCAGATTTAAATCACTTTAGTAATGACCACGTACATTGAGTACTACTGCCATCTAAAAATACTCTCTCAAAACATTGCCCACTTAAAGGACGATCTGGGATAAGAGGCATTCGTCTGTGAATAACACGATTTTACACAAATGTTATCGTGATGCAGTTACAGTAGATTTAGCATGTCCGGGTGTTACATTCTTATGACTAACATATTGTAACAACGTAGCTAAGTTAGCTTAAAGTGTGAGGCATAATAATACGGCTTTACGAGGCCTGTCCCTGTGCAGCAGCCCTGAGGTTAATGTCTCCAGCGCCTCTAAAAATACCATTAGCACATGGAGTATCTTGGCAGAATCTGTTGGTGTGCCCCAGTGAACCTCGAAGTGCTTCCATGACGGCCAGCCTTATTGTTAAAGGCTGCCAGTCACCTTTTATATCTAAAGCAACAGTGGACTCACCTCTTCCCACCAGGATACATGGCATATAATATTTATAACTGGCATAATAATGTTCACTATCATTATAACTATGCCTATTATTGTTTGTTTTCAACGTTTCATTCATAGTTTTGTTTTCTTCCATAAAACAGTAATTGAATTAATAATAATAATAATAATATGAGGATGATGATGAAGAATGTTGAGCATGTTGTCAAATGTCAGAATCAGTGCCATTCAGATGTTATGTTTCAGTTAAAGCAAATGAATTCCATTTATTTGTTTTACAGACAAACTTTACAGCGTGCAAGATAGTAATCTGAGTAAATGAAACACGCCACTTTTAGCTGTTGGTGTTTCGTCCTCTCATGTTACGCTATTTTATGTTCTTATATTTATAGCGTGACTATGTAGGATTGTGGCGGGTGGTGCTCACGCAGAACTTCATGGACATAAAAATCATTTTTGAATTAAGACTAAGCATAATACACATGCCGCAAGTACATGTAAACATGATGAGTATGGCTGTAACACAATATACTGGATAGTTTTTTTGAGTTGAAGCAGCACAGGGCCTTCGTACACGCCTCCTTACTCTATGGAGTGCTACACTAAAAACCCACCATTACGAAGCTGGCCGGCCACTTCAGCCTGAAAATAGAGACTCAGGGGCCCCGGTTCCAAAAGTGCCCGACGCCGACCTGTCCTGTCACTGCATGCAGAGTACGTGAGGTCGGGTGAACGGGAAAACCGACGGTGCTGTCAGAACTATGTTTCTCCATCGCATCTTCTCGCCATTATTTGTCTGCATCCCCAACTGATGGATCTCTTTATGTGGCTAATATTTATTATTATAATCTATAATAATAATAATAATAATAATAATAGTAAAATTACTAGTCTCCCCACTGAGGAACAGATAAAAACTGCCCCAGGTTAATGGCCAGCAATTTGTAAATGAACACTTCTAACGAGAATTTGAAATTAATCCTTAATTACTAGGCAGATATATAAAAAAAATCACTTCCAGTGTTACTTCATGACAGCATTTTCATATTTATGTTTCATGCACCATGTCTTAAAATCCAATAAAGAATGTTACTTAATGTGGTATTTTGATAGTTGTGATATTTTAATAAGTGAATTAAATTAATAGTAATTGAATTTTGTTAAGGTATATTTTGTACTTTTAACTTCAAATACACATGGACCAAAGGCACAATGATGTACAACAGACTCATTTTTTATAATGTGTTGATGTTGATATATTTTGTGTGGTCTGTGTGATTTGCTTAATACCAAAAATGGTTCTGATTTATTTGTGGCTCATGGTAGCTACAAAGTGGCCTTCACACATAACTAAACAACATTAATAGTCAATTTAATACGACTGAGCATATAGTACGTGACGGTATAGGCCTGATGCTTATCGAGTATTATCTAAATAAAAACAGTAACACTACAAGTATATAGCATGGATATTACTTTTTAACTATTCAAAAGAACAAACAGTATATCATTAATAATACAGCAAATTAATCCAATTTTAGTAGGACCCTGTGGTCTCTGGCAAATTCAATAAATGTAACAAAAAGCATACCACAGCTATATGGCGTATACGGCTGTAGTTGTACATAGGAATCAGCATATCACAAGATTTTGTACAGGTACATCTGTAAATATAACTGAACCGTATTGCTTCCATTTAAGTCCTATTTAACATACTGAACATATGTTTATTCAATTGTTCTTTTAAACATACAATACTGTATCTATGTTAAACTCATGTAAACAAAACATATAGACCGAAACAGAATATTTTATAAGTGGCAAATCATTTTTCACCCTTTTCTCACGGTGATGTGAGATTTTCAATAATCTGAAAAATGTTCTACACAAAACTTATTAACTAAAATCAAAGACCTCAAACTCATTAAAAAGCAACTTTTCCACCAACTTTTCCCACTAACCTCAAAATCTCAAAGAATTACTTCATGGAGGTTTCAACATCCCACTGAGAGCCCGACAATACTACTCCTTACTCCTGACGCACAAACAAATACGACCAGCTCAAAGGAGAGTGAATGTTAAGGTCATGCAGATGGCCAGCAACTTGCTGGAAGAATCATCGAAATGCACAAAAATAATAATAAAGCAGGCAGCGCAGTCTCAGTGTAAGGCTGACCAGTTATTATTACGCTTCAAGCCCTCTCCAGTACCAGCTCCGTAGTATCAGAGAGCCGTACCGACCTGAAGAGACGGACCCACTGGGGACCTCGCACGTTCTGTTCGGCTCGGACACGCAGTGAGGCAGCCTCCTTTCAGCCGTCACACAGCCCAGCCTGATGCCTGGGCTCATTTCCCGCTACAGGGGTCATGAATGATGAGGTGTCACAAATGGTTAGCATAAGTGTGAACGAATAAACGGCTGTAACGTTAATTAGAAAAACATCTCTCTCTACAGTTAGGTTTTCATTTAATTATTGTATTAACTAAGGCTTAATTGCCAAATAATTAATCCTCCATAGTACAGTACATCCATGAAAGACCACTGCTTTATTTCATTAAACTAATGTGGGGCAAACAAACTATGCATATATAGGTACCCATTGATTTATTCTGAAATGCAGTGAGATTTACAACAAAATATTACAATGATGAAAATAGAAGCGCATATTTCATAACAATGAAGTTATTAATTTGACAATTTTACAGAATAATATTATTTTACTCGACCCCGCAATCCTGACCAGGATACGCAGTGGAAGACGGATTGATATTAATCGAGCAATTAAGCCGCCCGTTTTAATGAAGCTGCAGAGCAGTTTGTGTATATTATAGAGGTTTCACGGACACGGCAAGAACGCAAACTTTGATTAGACCTAAGCGCCGTGATCCGACTACAGTTCAATTACGATATAGTGTTCCTTTCAGAATCTTTTGAGAGGTTTTAAATGCAAATACATTGAATCAAAATTCCAGGCATGCTTAGACATTTTTAATGAATCACTACTATAGTTAGGGGTATAATCATGCTTTAGTAAATGTTCAATAAATACAGTATATGGCTACAAATAAACGACCCATCACTTC